GCTTGCTGGTTCTGTTTGCCTATAGCGAACTTGCGGGTTCCAGGTATCAGATGGGGAGAGGACGGGAGGAGCTCTCAGCCTATCGGGAGGAGGCAGGGAGCTGTACATCATGTGCAGGGGCCTTCAGAGACTGTGTCCGAGAGAGGCAGAGGGCATACCTGGCACATGCAGCCTGGTAGGAGGGCTGTTTGGTGCATGGAGAGGTCATGAGCAGGGCGCTAGAGTAGGTTGTGATTTTTATCCCAAGAAGACCTGGTAATGGTCTTGGTTAAGGAAATGCTTTCAAGGCTACGTAGGGGAGGACGAGGGGTTGGGCACACAGTAGAGAAGATGTGTGGTCCGTGCATGTGATCCCAGAGTGGGGCCTCCTCTCACAGGAACCCCTTTCTTTTTGGTCAGGAAGATGCGGCCCTTTATCGGCACCTGGGGACCATTCTGCGGCACTGTGTGATGGTCGCTGCTGCTGGAGACCGCACAGAGGAGTTCCACGGGTGAGGGTGGGGCCCGTTCGATGGAAGGGAAGTGTGCTCAGGGGTCTAGACAGCGGTTCCCACCCTGGCTGTCGGCTAGGCTTCCCCCTGGAGAGCCTTCACCTACAGGGGTGGGATTTCCATCAGTGCGTGTCCACAGTAAGGGGCTAGGGCAAGAGAAACGAATCCAAGAACGGTATGTGTGTCTGCAGTGGAGTTAGTAGTAACCAACCACGTGGTAGTTAGCGAGTAACTGCTGAGCTTTGTTTCGGTGACTTGTGCCTGGGCAGGTTCTGGCGCTCCAGAGATTGTCCACGGGGCTTCAACCCAGACGGAGCGTGCCCCCTTTCTTAGGAACTCACCCCACCGACTATGTGGGAACATCTCTAGGGTCAGTCTCACCCTCAGTACCGGCCCCTGGTTCTGGTCATCAAATCCCTAGATGCTAGTTCAAGTCACACGCGGCCTTTTTAGGGGGCAGCAAGGCTTGTACTTATGCTGGGGGGTCGGACCTATCAAGCCCTCCTCCTGATCTGTCCTCAGCCACACAGTGAATCTCCTGGGGAACTTGCCCCTCAAGTGTCTGGACGTCCTCCTTACCCTGGAGCCACACAAAGGCTCCCTGGAGTTCCTGGGAGCGAACATGGATGTGATTCACGTCCTTCTCAGCTTTCTGGAGAAGCGTCTGCACCAGGTGGGCAGAGGGACCTGACCTGTGGGGTCCTCAGTGGCTCTGACTTTCCCAAGCAGCCTTGGTCACTGTTTTTTTTTACGGTCACACTGGTAAGCAGAGTGTGATTCGGGCCATTTCTCCAGCTGCTTCGTGGTCCAGTTTGGCAGAAAACCAGATTCTTTCTCCCTCAGAAACATGTGGCCCCTCTCACACGCACACACTTGAAGGTTTTACCTGTGCTGGTTATCTCAACGGGTTTTCAGAGTCAACAGCGGAGTTTGTGTCTTAGAGCTGTTTGTGGCTCTCTCTAGAGTCCTTGCCTGTGCCGTCAGAGCGCTAGCATTGCTGTGTGCAGGCAGCCCTCGGGACGAGCGACACTTGTCTCTTGGCATGCCTTGGGGAACCCACCACCACCTCGAGCCAGAGGCTGCCTGGTTCCCATGCCTGCACACACGACGTTGGCCACCCAGACCTCCAACCAGCCCCTCTGGGATGCTGCAGAGCAAGATGGAGTGAGATTAGTTGTCACGTTGCTCACGTGCGCTATGAGCTGGGTCCCTTGCATTGCACATCAAGGTTGTGACTGTCTGCTCCTACCACAACCTGGGGGCGGGGGGCGGGGGCAGGGAGGTCACTGGGAGGGGGGAAGCCGGGGAAGGACAGGAGCTCTTTGCTCACTGGGTCCATGAAGCCCACAGGGTAGGGATTTTGTTTTTGCGTTTTGGTCACTATTTTTTGAGGACGGGTCACGTGCCACTGGTGTGCTAACGACTACGAATGTTTTGTATCTTCTCTACGACTTTGGTGTGTGGGTGAGGAGGTTAGAGTAGATGAGTGGCCCCAAGTCCCAGAGCACACGAGAGCCCTAAGTGCAGTTCCATCCGCGGCCCCTTGAGGCTCCCAGACACCCAACGCCCACTCTTGGCCCCTCAGCTGACTAACTGTGGCAAGGCGTCTTCCCAAGCGCCTCCTGCCAGGACCATCTGGTGTGCGCGTGTAGCCCCCTGACCTCAGGTCAGGTGGGGGCATAGCCCCGGTGACAGAGGCTCCTCTGCAGACGCACCGGCTGAAAGAGAGTGTGGCCCCCGTGCTGAGCGTGCTGACGGAGTGTGCTCGCATGCACCGCCCGGCCAGGAAGTTCCTGAAGGCCCAGGTATGGGGGCTAGGGGCCAAGACGGAACCCTGGTCAGACCCCAGCCGCTCCAGGCCCAGGCTGAGGGACGGCTGCCTCCCAGGTGCTGCCCCCACTGCGGGACGTGAGGACTCGGCCTGAGGTCGGGGAGCTGTTGCGGAACAAGCTTGTTCGCCTCATGACGCACCTGGACACTGACGTGAAGCGAGTGGCCGCGGAGTTTCTGTTTGTCCTGTGCTCTGAGAGTGGTGAGTGCTGGGATCTGCCCCCACACCTGCCCCTTGCCCACCTTCATAAACTGACCTCTGCCCTGCTCCTCAGTGCCCCGATTCATCAAGTACACGGGCTACGGGAATGCTGCCGGCCTCCTGGCTGCCAGGGGCCTCATGGCAGGCAGCCGGCCTGAGGGCCAGTATTCGGAGGACGAGGACACAGACACAGATGAGTACAAGGAAGCCAAGGCCAGGTGTGTGCCCCTCCACCCTTGGCTGCCCTCACTCGGCCTGGTCCCAGTTCCCACACCCACAGGGTCCCGCAGGGTGAGTGGGACAGGATGACAGATGGGTCAGACTTTGGGGAGTCAGGCCCTGGTTCTTGGTATCAGGTTATTCCATTGAGAACATGGGCTGCAGGAGCCAGGCAGTTAGGGGACCAGCAGATCCAGGTGGCAGGAACTGGTTCACTGCTGCTCCTGGAGGGAGGCCCCTGCAGCCACCTTGCTTCTTGCCATTCCTAGGAGAATGGGTTTCTTGGCAGTCCAGGCCCAAGCAGGATGTGTAGGACTCCACCCACCCGGGGCAGCTGCCTCTTGTTCTAGAGAGTCACTCATGCATTCCCTATGTCCCCTCCGCTGGGAAGCAGCATAAACCCGGTGACCGGGAGGGTGGAGGAAAAGCCGCCCAACCCCATGGAGGGCATGACGGAGGAGCAGAAGGAGCACGAGGCCATGAAGCTGGTGAACATGTTTGACAAGCTCTCCAGGTGCGTGGTGTGGTGAGGAGGGGCCCCTGGCGGGGAGAAGGGAGAACAGAATCCCAGGCCCGGGTCCAGCCTAGTGAGCTGCAGGGGGTGGGGTCAGTGACGGGCTTACGCAGGGCTGCCTCACTCAGGTTGGAGACAAAGGAAACACCTCAGGAAAGGATTAGATTTGAGGTTGGTATTAGGTTTATCTCATAGATGAGATGAAAATTGAGACCTAGAGAAATTAAGAGACTGTGTAAGGCCCCAAAGCCACCAGGTAGTAGTTGGGACTCAGGCGTGTCTGACACAAGTTCCTACCCTGGCTTCCCTAGTAAACGGGAGCAGCTTGGAGCACATGCATGGAGCCAGGGGTGAGCGGGACTGCCCCACCTGCCGGGCCCCTTCCCCAGCCTCACCGTGTTCTTCCCTCGCAGGCACAGAGTCATCCAGCCCATGGGGATGAGTCCCCGGGGTCAGCTGACGTCTCTGCAGGATGCTATCTGTGAGACCATGGAGGGGCAGCTCTCCTCGGAACCTGACTCAGACCCCGACTGAGGACAGCCAGGCTTCTGTTCCCCCTTCAGAACTGGTGCTGCTTCCAGAGATGTCCTTGGGACTGTGACCCGGGGAAACCATGTCCCTCTCTCCAGCTCAGAGATCCCTCTCTCTCTTTACCTCCAAAGTTCTGTTAATGATTTGTTTCTGGTCCGGTTTCTTATCTTTAGGACTGTGAGGGTCTGGTCCTGCTGCGACTCTGGGAACTCAGCCTTGATTTCTACTGATGAAGTGGCCTCGGGTGTGTGCCAAGAGGATGGGGGCAGAGGCTGAGTGTGGGCACACCCAAGCATGTCCCAGTCTGGCATGCCTGCCTAGAGCTTCCACAGCAAGCAAGTGCTGCAGTTCACAGGAAAAGAGCTTGCCAGAACTGTACACACTAAGGACAGAAACATACATCCAAGGTATGCGCTGCTACTTCTGTCCCCACTGAGCTCAGGACTGGTAGCCTCTTCTGCATCCTAGGTCCTCGCTCAGCCATCTGCTCTAGTATCCACAGCACCCAAGCGCTCACCGCTTGTGACAGTGGAGTCCTGACCTTCCCACTGGCGTAGACCATAAATACATGAGGAAAATGTACCTTGTAAAACCCTAAGTCTGGATTTCTATCACGTTACACAAAGCATCTTAGAAACACCATCTTGGAATAAAGAGTTTCAAGCAGGAGCCTATGTATGAGGAATTAATTTCATTCTTTTCAGAATTCAGCCCTTTTTCTACAACATTAGTCACATCTGTTTTTGAGGAGTCTGTTAAGTGTGCCATGGGCAGGGAAACGATGCCTAGCAGGAGGGACCACACGCAGGGTAGGAGCCAGCGATCAGGAAGGTGTGCCTGAGTGGTGCTGTCCAAGCTGGGCCTTGCAGCAGCCCCAGCACAAAGGGCCTCGACAGGAGCAAGGAGCAAGAAGTGCGGGGTGAGCCAGGGGCCAGCTGAGGTTTTCTCAGAAACGCCTTCCACCACATAGAGGTTAATCCTGAGGGGGTTACTGGGAAGGCCTGTTGGGGAAGCTGAGGGGGAGGCATCCAGGTAGAGTGAACAAGGTACGACGCCCTTCAATGAGGGGTGCTGGGGCTCTGTGGGAAACAGCACTAGGCCCCACTCCAGGGTGAATCCAGGGGCATGTTCTCCATCCTTGAGTTATTCCAGTGGGGAGGAATGTCCACACACGCCCAAGGTCCCCTTTCTACATCCATTGTCAACACCCACATTCCCTTTGAGACCACAGTGTTTATTTCATGCCAAAAATGAACATTTCTCTAATTAAAGATAACCCCACAAAAGAGGCCAACAGACTATAGGACCCTATTGTATTACTTCAGACCCAGGACCACACCTTTGGAACAGCTGTGGCCACTCAGCCCAAGACCAGGTCTAAGGGACAGAGGCTGAGCCTGCCCTTCAGATGGAGACCTGGACACTGAGCAGATTCAGTCTGGGCTTCCTGTTGGTCTGAGTTCAAGAGGGTCACTGTCAGAAGAAAGCTTTTGTTTGGCATCAAGAGCTTCAGACTGAAGAGTCAAACAGCAGAAAGATGCCGGCAGCTTGGCACCCAAGATTGGGGTGGCCCACAGTGTGAGCAGAACACGACTCGGGCAGCCTCACACTCTTCCTCAGGCCACCGGTCCTGGTTCAGCCAAAACTGTTTACTCAGAGGTGAGCAGTGACTCCTTGGAACCGTTTCTGTTCCCAGGAGGGGTGGGGGACCAGCCATCATCCTATCCGTCCCGTCCATCGAGCTGGAACATGGAGGAGAAAGGGAATCAGTCCTGCAGATCTCAGGGCCTGGGTTCCAACTATTTAATCAAATAAAAGCTTTTCTGCCTCTGCCAATGCTGCCGTTGAGCCCAAGTAACATGACGCCAGCGGGGCTGGGCGGCAAAACACAGGGCTTCATTTAAGTAACCAGGTGAGATGTGCTGAAGCTCACAAGCTCAAAAATAGGCATTATTTGTGGAATTAACCCCAAGGTGGACTGCAGCTCATCCCTCGGTATTTCCTATTGGATAGCAACTCTTCGTATGCGTAAACCAAAACCAGAACCCACTTTACATAAAATTATAAAGATTTTAATTACATCTTCACATAAGATTATAAAATCGCACAGACCAAAGTCTGTAGGACTTCTTCCAAAAGTCCTTGGGGGCCACTTGGCTTAGTCTTGTACGGAAATAGGACGTCAGAGCCAGGAAGCTGCTAGGTGGATCTGACCAAAGCACCCGCTGCCCACCCGCTGCCTGTCCTCCTGATGTGCAAAGTATAGGCTCCGGAGCTACCTGCATTCTCTACTTCCCTAAAATGATCCAGCAATATGACTTTGACATTTATAATGAGATAAGGGGTGATACCAGCCTACATTTTAGCCATTAGAGCCAAATTCTGGAATGGAGGGATAGAAAAAACAGCAGCCACAATGTCTAAAATGTGTGGAAGTCTCCTGGCTTTAATAAGCCTTATATTCTTTCTTTGGTTCAACTTGGTAAGAAAGCAGACTGCAGCCAGAGGCTGGGGGCTTCTGCCCAGAAGGGTGAGGGGAAGGCCTGACCCCGGACCCGAGACCCCTGCCCCCTGGGCGGTGTCACATGAGGATCCTCTGCAATGACTGGACTTCGAAAGCTTAATGCTGCCTCCTTTAGAAAATCAGCACTCATGCCAGGGCCATGCACGCTAACCGATTCTCCTGGGAAACTTCACTTGGAACAGGTTTGGAACCTCAGGAGCAGCGAGCGTCTTTGGCTTTGCACCCGCAGCAGATCGATACGGGCCAGCAACTCTCGTGATCATCACAGGAACGCCTTCCCAGGGTGGGCTTCACCCCACATCAGCACACACAAGTTCAGCTCCTCAAAGCTCATTTCCGAGCCACACTCAGCCCGGAGCTAGCTGCTGGTGGTGCTTTACTTAGAGGACCCAGCTGGTCTGCCTGCACCCAACCGCAGCTCCGCCGCTGGGGAACAGGCAGCCAGCGTCGCTCTTGTAAGCACACGGACAGCCTCGGATAGTGGCCGGGACTGGGTTAACACGGATGTGCGCTATTCCTGTCACTGTCTTAGCCAGCCAGGGCTCCACATCAGGGGTACCTGGACCCCAGAGCAGCGAGGACCCTGCTTGCAGTCTGTACCTTTTCGGTTTCCTGCTGGATGAGGTCCTGCAGCTCTTCTCTCCAGCCCAGAAGCTCCACCAGCCTTTCCACGCTGTGAACCACATCCCCCAGCTGGACCACATCCCTGCTGCGAGGACACCAGGCAAAGGGCCCCACCACGTCCCGGTTGATGAGCAGTCGGGGCACTGAGCTCCGCACAGCCTCAGACAAGCTGGCGAAAGGTTCTACCTGAAAAATTGCCCACACGTGAGGAGGCCAGCACCCACCCTGTCCTCCAAGCCCCGCAGGACACTTCATGCACAGCCTGAGGCTTTGAAAGGGCAGCTCAGACCGATGGTAAAGCCTTGGATACAGGGCACATACACCACCATTTCCTTTCTTCTAGTCACACAGCCTGCCCGGGCTCTAGGCCTGGGTCCCTCTATGCCTCTGTCCATGTCCTTCTGCTTCCCACACGTCCTGGCCTCTGCGGGTCTCCCTGCCCAGGCACATCTAGGGTCCAGCAACTGCGCCCTCTCTTATCTGTCCTGCCCCACCACACACGTCACCTCCCAGCAGCATCTCGTCTGTCTGCCCTTGCTCCTTGGGAACAAGGACCTGGGCTCACAGGGGGCTCCTGGGGCGCCCATAGGGGTGGATGCCCCACCTCTGCACACTCTCCACCATTTAGACTTCTGGGGAGTCCCAACTCGGTGCCTTTGGGCTGCTTCATCCAGCTCCCACGTGAAATTTCCATTCAGAAGCAATAATATTAAGAAAGAGATAATTGAGACTGGCTTATTATCTGGGAGGAAAATGCTCAATTCCTGCCTTCGCTGAAAAAATTTCGGGTGAGTGAAAGAAATGTTACGTGATTTACATGTAAACAAAACAATTCTTAAAGAAGACTTAGCAATCGGAGGACAAACAGTGTATGTTCTCATTCATTTGGGGAATATGAATAATAGTGAAAGGGAATATAAGGGAAGGGAGAAGAAATGTGTGGGAAATATCAGAAAGGGAGACAGAACATAAAGGCTTCTAACTCTGGGAAATGAACTGGGGGTGGTGGAGGGGGAGGAGGGCGGGGGGTGGGGGTGAATGGGTGACGGGCACTGAGGGGGACACTTGACGGGATGAGCACTGGGTGTTATTCTGTATGTTGGTAAATTGAACACCAATAAAAATTTATTAAAAAAAAAGAAATGGAGATATATAAAGCCACAAAACCAATGGGATAGGAGATAACAGTAGACAGGAAAAGGTCAACAAAAATTCAAAGATAAATAGTAAACAGAAGTAATAGGGGTGCCTGGGTGGCTTAGTGGGTTGTGTCTGCCTTCAGGGCAGCGCAGGTGGCTCAGCGGTTTAGTGCTGCCTTCAGCCCAGGGTGTGATCCTGGAGACCCTGGATGGAGTCCCAGGTCAGGCTCCCTGCATGGAGCCTGCTTCTCCCTCTCCTGTGTCTCTGCCCCGCCCCCCTCTCTTTCTCTGTATTTCTCATGAATCAATAAATAAAATCTTTAAAAAAAAAAAAAAAAGAGGGATCCCTGGGTGGCGCAGCGGTTTAGCGCCTGCCTTTGGCCCAGGGCGCGATCCTGGAGACCCGGGATCGAATCCCACGTCGGGCTCCCGGTGCATGGAGCCTGCTTCTCCCTCTGCCTGTGTCTCTGCCTCTCTCTCTCTCTCTCTGTGACTATCATAAATAAATAAATAAAAAAAATTTAAAAATAAAAAAAAAAAAAAAGAAGACGACGACTTAGGTTTTATAAGTAAAGGTAGGAAAGGACCCTTAAGGCCTGATAAGTCAGATGAGACAAAGGAAAGTCATGATAGGTCTGACTACATAATACTATCACATTATTATCTACATAAAAATACGACGTAGAAAATAATTTTTAAACCTCATCACCATAAACTGCAAGCATTTTACAACATGTCACAAATATTGCTAATTGCTAAACTAATTTTAAACATTTTATATCATTTATGGATTTATATTGCTAATCTAATGACTAAGAAAAAAAAAGGATGAAAATGAGCAAGAGATACAAATATGCAATCCAAAGAGAATACAGTGGTTAATAAAACATGAAAAGATGAACTTCACTATTACAGAAATGTGAGATCTCTCTCTCTCTCTCTCTCTCTCTCACACACACACACACACACACACACACACACACACACAATTTCTAGCCAAATCAGATGGATAAACTTAAACACAGGTAATGTTTGCTGTTGGGGAGGATGAGGAAAATGGCCACTCATATATGACTGGTGACAGTTTACATAGTGTATTTTTCTGGAAGGCAACATCTCCTATTTACTGAGGTTCTCACATGAATGTGTGAACATGTGTACACTTGGTTATTCACTTTATTTATTTATTTATTTATTTATTTATTTATTTATTTATTTATTTATTTATTTATGATAGTCACACAGAGAGAGAGAGAGGCAGAGACACAGGCAGAGGGAGAAGCAGGCTCCATGCACCGGGAGCCCGACGTGGGATTCGATCCCGGGTCTCCAGGATCGCGCCCTGGGCCAAAGGCAGGCGCCAAACCACTGCGCCACCCAGGGATCCCACTACATTATTTTTAATATAAAATCTATTTACTTTATTTTTGTTGCCCATCAATAGAAATTTGCTTAGTTATTCATCCATCATCCCTTATCTTAAAACTCTGGGGGCTGGGTGTGTTCCAGAATTCAGAATATTTCAGATTTTAGTAAACATCATTTGGTTTATATACAATTATTATGTCACAACTCAGTGGGATCTGGAGGGGCAATTAATAATCAAGTTTATTGCTGAGTATTTCTTCCACACAGCATATGAGATGAAGTTGGAGCAATACTGCAGATTACTCGGTGCTAGAGACAAGCACTCTGACTAGGGGGTCCCAGCAGGGACACTGGGCGCTAACAAGGTAGTTGGTCTCTATGCACGGTGCTGCCCCACCTCTGGTTAAAAGGTCACCACAAGGTGCAGCAGAAAAGCTGTGAGGACACCGCATAACACTCGCGGTGCTGGAGGAGGTGGAGGGATTCCTTCCTTCGCCCTCGATCTATGTGACGTATGAACACTGCCCTCTGCGGCGTTACCTGGCCACCCGCCATCGCCACCCGGACCACCACCTGCAGGGTCTCCAGCAGCTCTCCCCGCCACAACACCCGCGGGGTCAGGAGGTCAGACCCTGTCACTGTTGCCCTCTGCTCACTCACTCCATGTGGCTGTGGCCACTGCGCAGTGCCTGCTGGCAGACACCCTCAGCTGACATGTGCATCCCCTTCTGCCCTCAGCTCCGGGGTCCCCTTCCCAACAGTCATGGAAACCAAGCTAATGTCCCAATCAGTTCCTAACCCTTCCCAGCCTTCCTGTCCCACTTGTTATTTCACCCATGTGTCAGCACCTAACACTGTGTCACGTGCTTGCAACATCATACTGTCTGTCCAAGGCCCTACAACAGGGCCCGGCACATAGCGGGCGCATTTGCTGGATGAATGCACCTAACTCTAGGCCTCTGTGGCCAACCGGGGCCCTGAGCATAGGCCTTTCTGGCGCTTCTGCTCCTCGGCACCGGCACCCAACCAGGCAGAGCTCATCGCAGGGTCGCATTTGTTGCTCTTGTCACATCCTGAGCTTCAGATCTAGAGGTAGACCAGCTTCTAGAATGTGTCCACAGGTGTGTCCTAGGTACCTCAAACACAATTGTACAGAACTGAGCTCGGAACCCTCCCTCCAAATACCTTGTTACCAAAAAAAGGCCTGAGTGCCCACAGACACAACCAGACCACTCCATCTCCTGCCCCCAAGTCCAGCCGTTCTTCTCTTTGTCCTCTCTCATGGTCACATGATCTGACCGGGCCCACAGCCTCACCTTCATGAGAACCCACCTCCCAGGCATCTCCTTCAATCCCCACTCCCCAGCAGGTTCTGGGACCTTGAGCACTGGCTAAGCCCCTGGCTCAACCACTTCAAGTCCACCGCTTCTAGCACAAAACCAGCCTCTGTGATGTGGCCTGGTAAGTCTGTCCTGCCCTACTCTCCAGGTCCCTCCTTCCTCCCTTCCCTTACACACCGTGCCCCACCCATGCTGATGGTGCCTCCAAAGCTGAGCACCCTCCCTCTTCCCCATTCTGCCCAGACTGCCAACCTCTTGGCCAGGAATACCTCTGCTTCCCGACCAGTTGAACCTACTCATCTTCCGAAGCTAGGACGCCAGATGTGAAGGCTCCCAAGAGCAGCTGGTGCCACCCCCAGCCCCAGCAGCCTCACCTCCTCGGCCCTGTCCTCATAGCCTCCCCTGCCCCCTGCACACTCAGTCCACCACTGGACCTGCTGACAAACCTCCAGGGAGGTCCCGAGGATGAGCAGCAGATCTGCCATTGGGAAATCAAGTACATGCAGCAGGAACCTCTGAGGCAGTGTCTCCCCAAAGAACACGATGTCAGGCTTCACAACACCAGTGCACACTGGGCAGCGGGGAATCTTGTCCATGCTCACGTCGGCCTGTGCAACACACATAGACAACAGGCCAAGGACAATGTCACGACATACTCAGGCTGCCAGACGGGAGGAGGCGGGGTGGGGAGTGCACTTGCTGTGAGGAGCACCAGGCGACGTATGGAAGTGAGTCACTAGATCATACACCTGAAACTAATGTAACACTGTACATTACCTAATTTAAATAAAACTTTTTAAAAAGACTGCTTTTACTAAGAAATTTTCAAACATTCACAACAGCTGAATAATGAACCCAGATTTGGCATTTATTGACATTTTGCCAATTTTGTTTCAATGGCTCCCTGAAACTGGGGACACATTGGAGTATTTGAAGGTGCATCCTGAAGAGCCCACGATATCTAGCACATGTAACGCCAGGCTGTGCCCTTCAGGGGCTTATCAGAGACATTCAGATGCTAAGGAAATATTCAGTATGTGACACAGTCCTCAGGAGGTACTCTGCAGGCATTTGGCCTACACTAGACATGATTCAATGAGAAAGCTGGTATAAAGTTTGTCCCTGATTGAAGTGATCATGACATCACCCTAGACCTGGAAGGCATTCAAGCAGGAGCTGTAAGCAGCGTTTCCACAGACCACTAGCTTGCAGGCCAAGGTGAGGTAGACGCAAATCACTGCTCTGCCCTAAGATGCCTGTGTTCATGTGCTGGGCTGGGTGTCAAAGGAAGGAGCCTAAGAACGAGGACACCAGCTTTCTAAGACAAACCTTCCTGGCCCTGTCTTAGCAAGCTGAGCCCAGCCAGAACCAGCAGACACAACAGACCAAAGAGACACTACTCAGAGACTTCAGATACTATTAGAGACACATTAAGGCCATTTTGTGTTTAATTTTTTTTTAAAGGGTTTGAAGTATCTGTTGGGGATAGAAAACTATAAAAAATAATGTAGTGGATTTGAAAAAGAACCAAAGAGAACTTCCAGTAATAAAAGTAACAAAATTAGGAAGGCATTATTGTGATGAGCACTGGGTGTTGTATATAGGTGATAAATCACTAAATTGTACTCCTGAAACTGATATTACGCTATATGTAAACTAACTAAATTCAAATAGAAATTAGGAAGAAAAAAATGGGACAAGTAATTCAGATCTGGAAATGAGCCCACAGCTGATTGAGGTTTTGCATCTCATTAAACCTTTTCCAAACAAAACAGTAACAAAAATTAGCACTCAGTGGAAGAACCTTATTTTATACAACAGAATAGAAGGTTGGTAAACTGGAAAATAGATCAAAAGACATTATTCAGAACACAGCACAGAGAAGCAAGATGGAACACACAGAAGAGCCACAGGTGGGAGCGTGAGGTCTCATGGGAGTTTAAGTAGAGCTCCACAAGGGAGGTGAGGGAGTGGGAGATGCAATTGACATCTGAGAGGCAACAGTCAGGGATTTTTCCACTAATGATGAAAAACCACAGATTCAGAAAGCCCTATAAATTTTAAGCAGAATAAGTACACAAAAGGAAATCCATATGGAGAGGTACCCCAGTAACAGTGTAAAACTCTAAAACTCCAAAGACAAAGAGAAAATATTTAAAAATAAGCAGAGAACAGATACAAACTGATTCTAAAGTTTATATGGAAAGCAAAAGACCAGAATAGCCAACACAATATTGATGGCAAAGGACAAGACTGACACTATCTGACTTCAAGACTTATTATAAAAAGCCACAGGAATCAGGATTGTGGCTCTACTGTAGGGAGCAGAATAGATCAGGGGAACAGAACAGAGAGGCTGGAAGTACCCTCACACAAATACAGTCAGCTCTTCTTTGACAAAGGACCAAATCTCATCTCTTCAACAAATGGTGCTGGACATTATGAAAATTAATAAAGGGAAACCCTGCTAATGTGGATTCAGGAGGTCGGAAGGAGCCCTACTGCTCAAACATCAATCACATGAAGAAGTGTGAACTACAGACCCAACAGAAGAACCCTCAACAGGAAGAACCATCAATGGCAGGTCCCAACAGGGGAAGATGTCCACCCCCCCTCTACAACAAATTGGCTACCCCAGCGATCAGCTGGTGAGACACCATTATTCCCCAGACCTGTCTCTCAAGCCCCTCCCTACTCCTTCCTCTCCATCAAATGTCCCTCTCCTTTGTTGTTTGGAGGTGCCTACGGTTTTGTCATAGCTTGCTTGTCCCAAATTACAATTTTCCACTCTCCTGAATAAACCCATTTGTTGGTAAAATAGCTGGCAATTTTATTTTTAAGGAAAACGTTACCTGGTGTCAGAAGTGGGACGCAGGCAGCTACCTCCAGCGGCTCTGAGGCTGGTGAGCAAACACACAGGTGCCGGTCCCCACAGACCTGGTCAGGCTTGCTGCTCTCTTGCCGGCCCTGGGGTTTGAGAATAGTCGTCTCCTGGACGTGAGCTTCACTCTCTGTTCTGAGCTCTCCAGCCTTTATTCAGGACCTGTTTTAAGGCTTTGTCCTTCCTGAGAGTACTCATTTGGCCTTTGGTCTGACTCCTTTCTAGAGCTAGGCTGTTCCTACTGGAACTGTGCCGTTTAGACATTGTTCTCTTCCCTCTAGAGAAAAGCCTCTGGGAAGTGGGATCCCAGCGATCAAAATGCTGTGAGGACGGCCTTGCGCCCACACTTCTGGGACCTCAGCCAGTTCTAGGTTTCAGAATGGTGGCCCTTCCTCGTGTGCATTCTTAACTAAATGGACTGACTCAACCAAAAGGCATTCACAACCTCAACAGCCATCGTGGGGAACTTCCCATCTCCCCAAATTGACTTTTCTCACAATGGAATTGGACAGCCATGGCTGGAAACTTGTCAACACTGTATTGGATGCTTATTTTAATTGGTACCTTGAGGCTTCCAAACATTTTTAGGATTCAAAGTTTGTTCGCCTCAGTTAATTTAGAAATAGTATTTTGCAAGGAGGCAAACAACTGTAAGAAGTCAACGGGGCTTCTGAGGCCTCTTCCCCTTCCCACCCTTTTTGTCTCCAGACAGGTGGGGCCACCTTATACTCGGGCCCTGCCTCTGGAGCCTTTTCCCTCTTCCCTTGGCACTGGCCCTCCCCTCCCCTATACCCATTCCTCCTTCTAATCCTTTCACCGAGCTTCCCTTTATCTCCAAACCTCTCCCCACCCCTCCTCTCCTGACCCTATTAACACCTACCCCTCTAAAGTAAACTCTGCTGGAGGTCCAAATGAACGCCAAATGGCTTACGCTGCCCAGACTAAGGCTGAATTTGGAGACGTACTGAAACAATTTCCCAAAGTGACTGAGGACCCTATTATGTTTGAAGATTTAACAGTTATTCAAACTTACTGATCTGATTTCTCAGATTTGTATCAATTGGTCCACATACTTACTGCTGAGGGTCAGACCAAACGCTGGATGAAACCAGCTCAATGGGAGCACCCTGAAAGGGACTGAGAGAAACAGATGCCTAAAGTTTTGGCAAAGTGCTAGAACTCGCTAGAAATCTCCACCAAAGGATTACAGTACCTCCTAAGCCTGCTGACTGGACAGGATTCAAGCTTGCGCAGAAAAGCCTGATGAAAATGTTCATGACTATACAACTGACACCACACTGTCTTCAAAGAAAATTCTTCCTTTAGATGCTAAATCCACCCAGGTAGCCTTTAACTCTACTTATTAATGAGCTGAACCAGCATCTTATGGGAAACTGTACACTCCAGGTTTATTTAATTTGGCAAACCACCTCTCTGGCATCCTAGATGAGTCACCTAAAAGAAAGACCACTATCATTCTCAATTTTCACTCCAGTAAATGGAGGCCTCTAAACAACCAGCTCCCCCACCCCAGCTCCCCCCAACCCCACTTGTTTCTGCTGCTTTTTATTTTTTTTTTAAAGGGTTTTCTTTTTTTTTTTAATTTTTATTTATTTATGATAGTCACACACAGAGAGAGAGAAAGAGAGGCAGAGACACAGGCAGAGGGAGAAGCAGGCTCCATGCACCGGGAGCCCGACGTGGGATTCGATCCCGGGTCTCCAGGATCGCGCCCTGGGCCAAAGGCAGGCGCTAAACCGCTGCGCCACCCAGGGATCCCCTCTGCTGCTTTTTAAAAAGGATTTTATTTATTTATTCATGAGAGACAGAGAGGGGGAGAGGGAGAGGGAGAGGGAGAGAGAGAGAGAGAGAGAGAGAGAGAGAGGCAGAGACACAGGCAGAGGGAGAAGCAGGCTCCATGCAGGGAGCCCGATGTGGGACTCAATCCCGAGTCTCCAGGATCAGGCCCTGGGCCGAAGGCAGGCACTAAACCGCTGAGCCACCCAGGGATCCCCTCTGCTGCTATTACACAGAACAAGAGTTGCAGCAAATGACTTTTCAGAGATAACACCAAAGGCACAATTCATGAAAGAAAAATATATTAGACCTCATTAAAGTGAAACCCCTGCTCTGTGAAAGACACTGTCAAGAAAATGAGAAGACAATATTTGCAAAGAAGAAAATATTTACAAAAGACATCTCATAAAGGATTGTTATCCATGATATACAAAAAATTCTTAAAACTCAACAATAAGAAAGTGATCAACCTAATTTAAAAATGGGCCAAAGACCTGAGTAGACAGCTCACCAAAGAAGATGCATAGGTAGCAAATGAGCATTTGAAAAGATACTCCACATCATATGTCACCATGGAATTGCACATTAAAACAACACAATACCATCAGAACAGCCAAATTCTAGAACATGGACAAAACCAAATGCTGCGTGCTCTTATTCACTGCTGGTGGAAATAGAAAGTGGTACAGCCACATTGAAAGGCACTAAACATGCACCGACCATACAATCCAGCACTCATGTTCCTTGGTATTTACCAAAGATGCTGAAAAGTCATGTCCATGCAAAAATATCGCATGTGGATGTTTATAGCAGCTTTGTTCATAATTGCCAAAACACAGAAGCGGCCGAGATGTCCTTTAGTAGATGAATGGATAACTAAGGCCCAACCACACAAGGGAATATTATTCAACACTAAAAAGATGTGAGCTATGAAGGCATGAAAAGACATGGGAGAAACTTAAAGGCATCTAAGTGACGGAAGTCTGAAAAGGCTGCATATGTATGAGTCCAACTCTGAAATTCTAGAAAAGACAAAACCATGGAGACAGTAAAAGGATCAGTGGTTCCCCAGGGTTGTGTAGCAGGGGTTAACTGATTAGTGGGTACAGAGTTTTCCTTTGGGGTGATGAAAATGTTCTGGAATCAGACTGAGGTAGTAGTTGCACAACACTGGGAAATACATTAAATGCTAATGAATTGTACACTTTAAAATGTTTAATTTTATGGTTATGTGATTTTCAACTCATTAAAAAATAAAACATATGCCTCATCAATATTTCAGAGTTTCATCTTTATTTAAGATTTTCCAGTCTATCCTATTCTGATTGTAGAAACCCATCCTACAGAAACATCCCCAGAAGTACACAAGGGTATGAGCACAGGTATAATTGATGCATTAAACCTAAGAGTAAAAATAACAAACATCAAAAAATACCCCACAGTAGGTGAATGGCTACATGTTAACACTCCGGTTACTAAAAATAGTAAGCAAAGCTGTAGTTATTGACACAGACATCCATGAAGTTTTGTTCTATAACAAAGCAGGTTGTAGAACATTAACCCTAATAATCCTATTACTGGGGAGCCTGGGTGGCTCAGTCGCTTAAGCGCCGCAAACTCTTGGTTTCAGCTCAGGTCATGATCTCAGGGTCATAAGATCAGGCCCTACATCGGACTCTGTGTTCAGTGGGAAGTTGGCTTGAGATTCTCTCTCCCTCTCCCTCTGCCCCTCTTGCTCATGTTCTCACAAATAAATTTTTAAGAATTTTAATAATCCCATTAATTTAAAAAAATTGTCACTGTGTAGTGTAAGGATACAGACACGGCCACGTACGTTTAGATACGCCTTTTTTTTTTTTAAAGGTTTAGAACATTATACACTAAACTGTTAAGAGTGGGCTATAGAAACTCCCTATAGGTTGAAGGGAGATATGTTTTTCCCTACATATTTCTTAATTTTTTACAAGTGTGTATTACTTTTCCAATTTGAAAACAAAGAAAAGCACTCCACAGCTTTACAGTTCTGGTGTCTTCCAATACAATGCTTATAAAATGTCACTATTCCAGATCACTCCCACTGCAAAGTGCAGAAGGGAGAGAACCGTCAGCGTGACAACTCACCCAAATGTCCTTCGCTGAGGAGGGTCTTCGGCAGACAGTGCACGTGGCGGAGGCGAAGGATCCATGAGCTTCAACCAGCTTTGAGGCAGGGATCCCAGATACTGAAATTCAAACCAAAGCTAAGTGCTGCTGGCCCCAGGGTGGGTGCACAAGCCCCAGCACGTAAACTCTGAACTTGGCAGACCCCAGAGGGAGTCACAGCCTTCAGTGCAAGCCTGGCTATCCGTGCCTCCCCCACCTACAGATGATGTCCCACTGACCAGAATGAGCACCAGGGATGAGGGCTTCCAGACGGAGCCAAATTACGGTAAAACAAAGCCTGCCAACAAGTTTGCTATAAACTCAGATAAAATTATATTTGATACCTAGGGAAAAATTACCTATTCCATAGAGACCAAGCAAAAGTGAAAAAACTATATAGGGGCACCTGCGTGGCCCAGTCAGTTGAGCATCTGACTCTTGATTTTGGCTCAGGTCATGATCTCAGGGCCGTGGCGTTGGGCCCCAGGCAGGCTTCACACTCCGTGCTCCACGGAGTCAGCTTGGGGTTCTCCCTCTCCCTCTGCTCCTCCCCCGACGGGTACATGCACGCATGCTCTCATACTCTCCCTCAAGAAAACTATATAAAGACAGTAGCTTCCAAAAAACTGCAGAAAAACAGAGGTAACTTATGACAGTTCCCTGTTCCCACTGCCAGCCACTGAGCTGTGGGTGGCAAGCAGCCCCAGCCACAAGTGGCTTCCACTATTCCCGTTATTGTCAAAACCTCCATATGCTAAAGCCACAGCCAGATGCTCCCACCTTCCCACAAGGCCTGTCCTACTCCATCTCCAGAAAAGATCATCCCCGTGGGGTATCCACTGCTGCCTATGTAGTTCCAAGCTGCAGAACCCTTCTAGCAAGGAATCATTTTCCTGGAGTCCAGGAATGACTCCTTTTTTCAAATCACAAGATGCTAAGTCAGCTCTAACAGCACCCATCAGCAGCATCGATGCCCATAAGAGAAAGGCTCGGTGAGTGTCTCTCTAAGATGCAGCATCTGTGAACTACTGGTTGTGGCTGCTATCGACACAGTCAGAAACCATTACACATCCTGTTTGATAATACTAAGGCATTAATAGTGGTCTCTCTGTGGACAATGGCATTGTAATTATATTTTAAAAGTCTTGGGGCAGCCCGGGTGGCTGAGTGGTTTAGTGCCACCTTCATCCCAGGGTGGGATCCTGGAGACCCGGGATCGAGTCCCATGTTGAGCTCCCTGCATGGAGTCTGCTTCTCCCTCTGCCACTCTCTGTGTATGTGTGTCTCTCATGAATAAATAAATTTAAAAAAATCTTTAAAAATACATAAAAGTCTTTATCTTCTAGAAATAACCAGTGAAGTACTTAGAGACTATTTATAGATTAAGTTTATGATGTCAGGGATTTGCTTCAAGATAACCAGGGGTGAGAGAAAAGGTGGGGGTAGGAAGACACAGATAAAGTAAGGACTGGCTATGATGAAGGCATGGGGGTTTATTACATTCCTCTCTTTATTTTTATGTGCTCAAAAAATGTCATAATAAATTTCTTTAAACAAAATCACCCTACCAGATTAGCAAAACTAGAAGCTCCTGATGTCAATTTTAGTTCTGTCCAAAACTCACAGCCCAGCAACTATGCCAGAACATCAGGTCCACCAATGAGATCCCAACAGTGACTCTTAGACACATGGTGCACTTTTTGTCAGGGACAATGGCATCACTAGCTGGCTTGAAATCAACCAGAGGACAGGCACCCAAGCCTTCTGTGCAGAGAGGAGGTGGCGACAGGCGGAGAGCTCACCTCTCTCGAGCCCATCGATATTCTGCGTGTAGAGACGCAGAAGCAGCCCCTTGTCGTGGAGCAGTCGGAGGAAGTAGTGTATGATGTTGGGCCTGTATTTCTTAAGGTACAGCTCCTTGGCCAAAGTGAAAAAGGGCTTGGGGTTGTGAGAGAAGAAAGCCAGCTCAAAAACAGCCTCGGGGTATGGGAGGTCATACTGTTGCAGGTTGCTATAGAGGCCGCTCCCGGGAGACCTGCGAAGAACAGCAAGAGGCTCTGAGCCCTGAGGAAGAGGCAGGGCCATGAGGCCGACCGGGGTGCCAAGGGAGGAGCTGCTGGGCACCTGAAGTCCGGAATGCCGCTGGGCGTGCTGATGCCAGCCCCCACCATGACCAGCACCCTCTGGCAGGCTCTGGCTCGAATCAGTTCTGCTATATCCTGCAGAAAAAGCTTCTTCTTATGGTCACCTCCGCTTCCAAAGATGCTTGAGGTTCTAGTGGAAAAAGATATGGGTCTTCTTCCGCCTGTAATGCTGACAGAAAAAGAGAGTGGCCAGGTGACCAGGGACTGTCAAGCTCATGCTAGCCCTCCTACCACCCCCAGCAATGAGAATGATCAGACACCTCCCTCCTGCGCCCCAAAATGATCACTTTTCTCATCATGGGTGACTACTGGGCTACAAGAGAAAGAAGTGTCAACTCAGAAATCAAAACTTATTTGGGAGCAAAAAATTCAGATTACTTGGAACTGTGCAAACAAGGGATGTATCATCTCTTAATTCCTGCTATCCAGTGCCAGCACTAAGAGAACAAGGGTCCACACCAAAGGTGTAGGGGCTTAGTGGGGGCTCTGGGTGTGCTCTCTGTAGAGACATACACTGCAGCGTACCCGGGATGTGACAAATACACAGTGACATTTAAAGAAAGCCAATGTCTCAGACTGTACATCAAATATCATCAGGAGGAAAAATGGGTTCTAGAGACCATTCCAGAAAGAAACACTCATGCTCTGACTGCAGTGGGTAGACTCAGCTCAGGTTCTCTCTGCAAACCACTGGAAGGTTTCTCAAGTCACCCCCAGGAGCCAGGAGCCGAGACGCTCACAAGGCTATGGTATTAGGGACACTGGATGGTCTTCTGTAGGAAAAGAGAGCAAAACACAATGAACAAATCACAGGCTTCAGCAGGACCTCAGGACTTATAAAATATGACTCTATAACCAGGAAAGCAACAGGAAGAAACAAAAGTAGTATGAAGAACACAAAGCCTTTCTCGTCTCTGAAAATGTCCCACTGCAGTGAGTCTGCAGCCATGGGAGGTATGTGTCACTAGAGCCTCACCTCATACACGCCTGGAAGGGCCTCTGGGCTTACTGCTCTGCTCTTAGGGCCCCTGCCTGGCATCTGACCAAGCTGCACGACTTCTTCATCTCCTGGTATCACGCTGGCAACTCACCCAGAGTTCAGGACTGCCAGCTCCACTGCACAGGGCGCCTTTCTCACACCCCAAAGACTGGCGGCCCCCATGTCCATTCTTCCGGGAGAAGGCCGTTGATGACCCTCCCCCAGGACATCTCTGACTCCGGTATAGAGACTCCTCCACCCTGATGGGAAAAGAGATTCAACAAATGGAATTGACAACCCTCCTCAAATGAGTGACGAATCTAAAGTGAATACAGACATAAAAACAGGAAACCGACAGCACTTCTTTTACTCATTTGTGATGCAGGCAAGAAATAAGCACCCTAAAAGCACATTGTCAGATACACATCAGAACAATTCAGGAGTATGAATCTTCTAGAAGTATGGCCCCAACTCACTCTCCTGTTTGCTCCTTGTCTGTTGTATTCCTTTGCTCCTTACAGAACCAGCACTGCAAGCTCTGTGCAGACCCACCCAGTGGACACACGGTCAGTGAGGCTTTCCCTGAAACTCTCTGCTCCCCACCCTAACACAGCATATCCCCCCCCCAGTGACAATTCCAACTCCATGCCCTCTTATATACCCCCTTTCCAACCAAGTAAAAGGGCCCCCTGGCTCTTGTCTATGTCCCAAACCCAGCTCCCTCTGCCCTGAAAAGACCTTTCTTCCCCTCAGTATGTCCAAATCTCCCACAGCCAAGGCCAGGACCAAATGCCACCTCTTTCGTGAAGCTGCTGCTGAACCCCAATGAGCAATCACTTTGCCCTCATTTGATTCCCTGCTTCTTCGGGGAGGCTCACATCCCTCCCTTCCCGCGGTGGCCCTGCACGGCACCTCACACACTCTACCCTGGGGTCAGGGACTTGCTGCTCACAGCCCACTTGCTTCTGGGTTGCTGCTTCGCCCACCACATAAAGCATCATCTTGGTTTTCAAAAGAATGGATTTCTGAAACGTACGTACCAGAGAAAAGGGAGGAGAACAAAGGAAGGTGCGTGTGCAGAGCGAAAGGACAGTCAGAGCCCTAGCTTGCTGCTGGTCTCACCAGGTCACTCACACATACCGAGCCTTGGCTGCTAGTGCCAAGAGCAAGAAATGATTCTCACAGTCTTGCTCGAGAAGACCTATAGCTGTAGATCTTTTCCTCAGAAAGTATAGGAAGTACACACAGCACAGAAAACAGTGCCTCCCCCTTCTCCTCCCCACTCCTGCAGAGATGCCCACAGACCTCGAAGAAGTTGTGCTGCATCAGAGATTTTTGTAAAAGCACCTACCAAGCAGTTTTTCTGAGTGCAAGTTTCTAAGTCTCCAAAGGAGATTTTCTAGTGAAGACTGGCTGGATGGTCAGGAAGAGAAGGTGCTCTGGCCACAGCCACAGCTGTTAAACGCCCCATGTCACTCAGCATCTGGAACAACCCTTCCCCTACAGTCTTCACCCAAACATTTACTGAGCTCCTCCTACATGCAAGTTATTAGGAAAAACATAAAAGGAATTAAAGGGAAATTGTGATATTGTGATTTATAATAAATACGTTTTTGATCTTCATCCCCAAACCCTCGGAATTTCTAAGAGCAAAGGGCACATCTCTTGTGACCATGGCTGGTCTCTTGTCCTCAGTTCCAGAGATCCCCCAGAGCTGTGGAGGTAAGGTGGGCGTCCCGTCTTACCTACCCAACCCCTACCCACCACAGCTGGGTATATGTTCATGAGGGGACTTTGGGAAGGTCCTAAGGATGGGGGCTGGGGGTCAGGGCTAACCAACTGTGATTGGAGGGTTGGAGCCTCCATCAAAACTCAAGGGGGGGAGGGGTCAGAGGGCTTCCAGGTCAGTGAACCACCTGCCCAGGCCCCTGGGCCCCAAACTCCAGGAGGCAGAAGGGACCAGGGACCCCTGCAGACCTCACCCCATGTATCGCTCCACCCGGCCTCTCATTCAGTCAATAAAACTGCAATCCACTCGGTCAGCTGGTCTCCCGAGGTCTGTGAGCTGCTCCAGCAAACGAACGAAACCAGAGATGACCCTGAGGACCCGGCTCCATAGCCGGTCAGTCGGAAGCACAGGAGACAAGCTGGTTGGTGTCTGAACTGGGGGCTGTCTTGTGGGAGTGCGTCCCTCACCCGCAGTGCTGTCTAGACCGGAACGGGGTTCACCTGCTGGGACACCGGTCAGCGCAGTAAAGGGCCCTGGATTGAATAGAAGATCGCTCGGCATCCCTTAAACTCCTCACCGGTACTTGTAGTAGCTGTAAGACGGCATCACGCAGATGCACCAGTCCTGAAGCATGAATCCGCTGCTGCGCACCTAAGGTACTTTAACCGCTGTGCGCCCACGCCATCCCCCCGCCCGCGTTCGGTCCCCAGGCAATGAGAACCGGAAGAACGGGCGGCGCCTAACGCACGGCGGACACCAGCAGGGGGCGCTCCCCCCCTTCCCGCAGACGGAGGAAGCCGGGCTTCGCGGCGCCAGCGCGAGGAAGGCGAGATCCTCCAGCACAGGCGCCCCAGCCCGGAGAGCCAGTCACAGCCCAGCGGAGAGAGCCCAGCCCAGCGGGGAGAGCCCAGCCAATGAGAGCCCAGCCCAGCCAGTGAGAGCCCAGCCCAGCCAGTGAGAGCCCAGCCAGTGAGAGCCCAGCCCAGCCAGTGAGACACAGCCCAGCCAGTGAGAGCCCAGCCCAGCCAGTGAGACACAGCCCAGCCAGTGAGAGCCCAGCCCAGCCAGTGAGACACAGCCCAGCCAGTGAGAGCCCAGCCCAGCCAGTGAGACACAGCCCAGCCAGTGAGACACAGCCCAGCCAGTGAGAGCCCAGCCCAGCCAGTGAGAGCCCAGCCCAGCCAGTGAGAGCCCTGCCCAGCCAGTGAGAGCCCTGCCCAGCCAGTGAGACACAGCCCAGCCAGTGAGAGCCCAGCCCAGCCAGTGAGACACAGCCCAGCCAGTGAGAGCCCAGCCCAGCCAGTGAGACACAGCCCAGCCAGTGAGAGCCCAGCCCAGCCAGTGAGACACAGCCCAGCCAGTGAGAGCCCAGCCCAGCCAGTGAGACACAGCCCAGCCAGTGAGAGCCCAGCCCAGCCAGTGAGACACAGCCCAGCCAGTGAGAGCCCAGCCCAGCCAGTGAGAGCCCTGCCCAGCCAGTGAGAGCCCAGCCCAGCCAGTGAGAGCCCTGCCCAGCCAGTGAGAGCCCTGCCCAGCCAGTGAGACACAGCCCAGCCAGTGAGAGCCCAGCCCAGCCAGTGAGACACAGCACAGCCAGTGAGAGCCCAGCCCAGCCAGTGAAACACAGCCCAGCCCAGCCAGTGAGAGCCCAGCCCAGCCAGTGAGAGCCCAGCCCAGCCAGTGAGAGCCCAGCCCAGCCAGTGAGACACAGCCCAGCCAGTGAGAGCCCAGCCCAGCCAGTGAGACACAGCCCAGCCAGTGAGAGCCCAGCCCAGCCAGTGAGACACAGCCCAGCCAGTGAGAGCCCAGCCCAGCCAGTGAGACACAGCCCAGCCAGTGAGACACAGCCCAGCCAGTGAGAGCCCAGCCCAGCCAGTGAGAGCCCAGCCCAGCCAGTGAGAGCCCTGCCCAGCCAGTGAGAGCCCTGCCCAGCCAGTGAGACACAGCCCAGCCAGTGAGAGCCCAGCCCAGCCAGTGAGACACAGCCCAGCCAGTGAGAGCCCAGCCCAGCCAGTGAGACACAGCCCAGCCAGTGAGAGCCCAGCCCAGCCAGTGAGACACAGCCCAGCCAGTGAGAGCCCAGCCCAGCCAGTGAGACACAGCCCAGCCAGTGAGAGCCCAGCCCAGCCAGTGAGACACAGCCCAGCCAGTGAGAGCCCAGCCCAGCCAGTGAGAGCCCTGCCCAGCCAGTGAGAGCCCAGCCCAGCCAGTGAGAGCCCTGCCCAGCCAGTGAGAGCCCTGCCCAGCCAGTGAGACACAGCCCAGCCAGTGAGAGCCCAGCCCAGCCAGTGAGACACAGCACAGCCAGTGAGAGCCCAGCCCAGCCAGTGAAACACAGCCCAGCCCAGCCAGTGAGAGCCCAGCCCAGCCAGTGAGAGCCCAGCCCAGCCAGTGAGAGCCCAGCCCAGCCAGTGAGAGCCCAGCCCAGCCAGTGAGACACAGCCCAGCCAGTGAGAGCCCAGCCCAGCCAGTGAGACACAGCACAGCCAATGAGAGCCCAGCACAGCCAGTGACAGCCCTGCCCAGAGAGCACAGTTCCACCGATGAAAAGCCACTACACTTCCCGCTCCGTTTATTCCAAAGGATCTTTTTTTAATTATTCCCAAGCCCCACCCCCTTCTTCTCTAAAAGAGCATTTCGGTCCTCTGTTTCGGGAACTCGCCTACGGTTTTGCCATAGCTTTCTTCCTTGAATGGCAGAGAACTGAATACTAAATACATCTATTTTGCTGGCAACATAACAGGTTTATTTCTAAGGTCAACAGCAAGGATCCCAAAATGTACAATTACTGCATAGAAGGGTATGAACATATGCTAGTAGAAGTATTAATTGCACACTTATTGGGGGCAAAAAAAACCAAAAACGTATGTGCCCTGAGGCTGAGTTCCACTACGTTTATCCAAAAAGTGGGTATAAACAATACACCCGAGCATTATTTGTAATAACTAATTTCAATAAAAGAAAGATTAAATACATCAGGAAACCTCAATCGAATGGAATTTTACAGATCACCCCCAACCTGGGACGGGGTGGTGGGGCATCCTCAGTTTCCCGCAGAGACAGGCAGTGGGAGACTCCGAATGGTCAACGCCCAAGAAGTCCAGGCTCCATCTCGACCCCTCTCTGCGGGGACAGAAGCAACAGGTCCCTCTTCCCTAACTGTACGCTCCCCCCATAAGGTGAGGCAGTCTGGGGAGCTCTTCGTTGGGGTAGATCTGGCGGTTCGAATAAAAACAGTCGTGGGGAAAAAAAGAAGTCTACAGATTAGTGTAAACGACTAAGGAAGCATTTATGTTTTGAGATGAAAGCAAGCGCAAGACCTACTGTCTAGTAGAACCAGCAAGCTGCACTCCAGAACCCGGGTGTCAACAACGAACACACAAGTGCGGCCTGTGCACATGCAAAACGCTGTAGAAAGCCAAACGCAGCCCAGCGCTGCCACGGTGACCTCTGGAACACCCCGGGCGCGTGACAGTACTTAGCTCCTGCAGGTTCTCGGGTCCCACCGACCGCGCGAGGACAGAGCCGAACCCCGCCGGCTCTGCAAGCCCGGCCCGCGCCCCCCTCGCGGCTGCCAGCCGCCGGGCCGGACCGAGGCCCACTCACCTGCCGGGCCCCAGAGCCCGAGGGCCGCGAGAGCAGGCCGAGCGCACCGCGTCATGACCCCGCTCCGCCGCCGCCCGCCCGCAGCCTTGACCCCAGGGCGCAGGTCCGCCCCGCCCCGCGAGCCAGGCTGGGGCGGACGCCAGGCGAGGGCGGCTTCCTAGCCGGTCGGGCTCCCGCCTCTCGCCCCGGAGACCAGAGCAGGAGCCTGCGTGTCTCTGCCCCGCTCCCCGTCCGTTTTCCGCCGGGCGGGGGAGGCGCACGCTCGGCGGACTCCCGCCCGGCATCACATCTTCGGCGGTCCTCGCGACGGTCCGCGGAAGCCAGTCCTACCGAGGCCCCCACGGAGGGAGAACGTCGGCTACCACGCCGGGCGAGGGCCGGGCGGCCCGAGGCTCTCGAACCGCCGAACCGCTCCGCCGGCGCGCGGGAAACCAGGCAAACCGCACCCGAATTCCCTGCTAGGCCGCGCGCGGTCACCCCGACAACCAGGGGGCGCCGCCGGACGCCGGGGCGCTCCCGGCCTGCCCCGCGCGGCGCGACGCCGGAAGTGAGCGAGCATTTCCGGCGGCCCTCCCCGTGGTGCTGACGCCTCTGCGGGGCCGCTCCCCGGGCTTTCCCGCCGTCATGAAGGACGTACCGGGCTTCCTGCAGCAGAGCCAGAGCTCCGGGCCCGGCCAGGCCGCCGTGTGGCACCGCCTGGAGGAGCTCTACACGAAGAAGTGAGCGCCCAGCCGGGGCCCTGCGCCCCGGGACGGGAGGGCGAGGCGGACGGGGGCGGCCGTGACGGGCCGCGGGGCTCGGCCCCGCGTGCTGAGAGGGGGCGGGGGGCTGGGCCCGCGGGGAGGGGCGCTGAGGGGGCGGGGGGCTAGGCTAGGCCGGGGAGGGGCGCTGAGGGGGCGGGGCGCTAGGCCGCGGGAGGGGCGCTGGGGGGGCGGGCGCTGGGCCCGCGGGGAGGGGCGCTGGGGGGGCGGGGGGCTGGGCCCGCGGGGAGGGGCGCTGAGGGGGCGGGGGACTGGGCTCACGGGGAGGGGCGCTGAGGGGGCGGGGGGCTGGGCTCACGGGGAGGGGCGCTGGGGGGGCGGGGCGCTGGGCCCGCGGAGAGGGGCGCTGGGGGGGCGGGGGGCTGGGCCCGCGGGGAGGGGCGCTGGGGGGGCGGGGGGCTGGGCTAGGCCGGGGAGGGGCGCTGAGGGGGCGGGGGGCTGGGCCCGCGGGGAGGGGCGCTTGGGGGGCGGGGGGCTAGGCTAGGCCGGGGAGGGGCGCTGAGGGGGCGGGGGGCTGGGCCCGCGGGGAGGGGCGCTGAGGGGGCGGGGGGCTAGGCTAGGCCGGGGAGGGGCGCTGAGGGGGCGGGGGGCTAGGCTAGGCCGGGGAGGGGCGCTGAGGGGGCGGGGGGCTAGGCTAGGCCGGGGAGGGGCGCTGAGGGGGCGGGGGCCTGGGCTAGGCCGGGGAGGGGCGCTTGGGGGGCGGGGGGCTAGGCTAGGCCGGGGAGGGGCGCTGAGGGGGCGGGGGCCTAGGTTGGGCCTGGCCGGGGAGGGGCGCTGAAGGGGCGGGGGGCTAGGCTAGGCCGGGGAGGGGCGCTGAGGGGGCGGGGGGGCTGGGCCCGCGGGGAGGGGCGCTGAGGGGGCGGGGGGCTGGGCCCGCGGGGAGGGGCGCTGGGGGGGCGGGGGGCTGGGCTAGGCTGGGGAGGGGCGCTGAGGGGGCGGGGGCCTAGGCTGGGCCAGGCCGGGGAGGGGCGCTGAGGGGGCGGGGGCCTAGGCTGGGCCAGGCCGGGGAGGGGCGCTGAAGGGGCGGGGGGCTAGGCTAGGCCGGGGAGGGGCGCTGAGAGGGCGGGGGCCTAGGCTAGGCTAGGCCCGGGAGGGGCGCTGAGGGGGCGGGGGGCTAGGCTGGGCCAGGCCGGGGATGGGCGCTGAGGGGGCGGGGGGCTAGGCTGGGCCAGGCCGGGGATGGGCGCTGAGGGGGCGGGGGGGCTGGGCCCGCGGGGAGGGACGCTGGGGGGGAGGGGCGCTGGGCGGCGGGGGGCTAGGCTCACGGGGAGGGGCGCTGAGGGGGTGGGGCTAGGTCCGCGGGGACGGAGGACAGAGCCCGAGGCTGAGTTCGGGGGTGTCGGGTGCGCTGGGCCCCTGCGTGAGGGACCTGAACCCTCCTTCGGCTCTCTTGGGAGGGTTCGGGGCTCTCAGAGACGCTCGCTCTCGGTTCCCGTCGTTGTGACTGGAGGGTCCTGGTGTCGCAGCCTGTCTCCATAAGCCCGAGCGCGGTGCGGCTGTTGGTTCCCCTGTTTGCTTGTGTCCGGCCACTCCCCGGGCTTCAGCCCCGGCGCCGCTCTCCCAGGGTCCCTCCTTTCCATTGCATTTCACGTGGGGCTTCACGCCGCTGGAAGATCCCGGAGTTTGGGCTTGGAAGCAGGATGAGTTTTGCGACAAATTACCGTCGCCTCGCACAGCCACGCACCAGCCTGGCCTTGAGTGGAGAGAAGAACCCGCTAGCCTTGTGGCGTGGGAAAGGGCACCTTCTGTGGCGACTCCCCTGCTAACGCTGGCCTTGAGCCTGGTGCCTTGTACGCAGAGGGTGAATACATGTTTGGAGGATGTTCGGCAGCCTTCGGCTCTTAGTGTTTTTTGAGAGGGGATTCTTAGTGTTTGGCAATAACTGCATTTTGTATTCTTCAAAGCATTTTATTTGCATTCTTAAAAATTAGACTTTGGTTTCATATGTACGGTCATTTTTCTAGAGGGTTTATTCGTTTGCCCACCTAATCCTTCATTCATCCCATTTACAGGGGAGGAAACAAGCTCACTTTAAGCTCCAGATAGTCGGCTAAGTAGAAGAGCCTACATTTCAACTTAGGGGCGATTCCAAATTCGTGTTTTCAGTCAAACCTCATAGTAACTAGAGAGAATCTAAGATGATGTTCTCCGGCCTAATATACTGTTGCATAGCAGAGCCAGGAAAAGACCTCAGGTTTAGCTTTCTTCCTATTACACGGTAGAAACTGGCTACTGTTTGTTGTTTGATAGAACCACCACGCTGGAGGGGCCTGTGACTCAGTATTAGTTTATCTCTGAAGGACCTTATGTTTTTCAGATTGTGGCATCAACTGACACTCCAGGTGCTTGATTTTGTGCAGGACCCATGCTTTGCCCAAGGAGATGGCCTCATTAAGGTAAATGATTTGCCATGCCAGGTCAGATGATATAAATTTGCTAAAAGACTTTTAAAAATAAGAGGTGGGCTTTATATTAATACACTATACCCACTCAGCAGTCACTTGAAGACAGGTACCGTTCTAAGGGCTTTACTTATTTACTCCTTACAACAAGATTGGGAGATAAGCATTACTGTCATCCTATTTATTCGGTGTAGAACTTTACACCAAGACATTGAGTAACTTGCCAGAGATCACAGCTAACAGGTGGTAGAGAGACTTCACAGTCTGGATGTTTTTAAGATCCATGCCTAAAATGCCATCTTACAGGATAGGATAAGATAGCCTTATATCTTATTGTTCATAAATTGTTTTTTTCAGTACTGTTTTTGGAAACTGTTATTCAGAAACTAAAAGTGCAAAATCGGGGGGGGGGCGGCGGCGCGGGTAAACTACAGTGGAGGATAACCATCAGACTCTTACAGATAGCCGTCATCACTGCTCTCCTTCACTCTCTGATTCCGCCTGCTTGCCCAAATGCTTTGTCTTGGGTAGTGTGGAAGGCAGAGCCCTTTTAGAGTTTTATCAACAGGGAAAAACAAAGTTCTCTGCCCCACCCTTCCCCACACTCCCTCACAAACCCCCACCAGTTTGTTCAGTGGTAGCTTCCTCTTTGAAATCTTTCCTGACATCTTACTCTTTGATGCCTTTCTCTCAGATGCTGAATGAATCAGAGATTTATGCCTGCATTGGAACCAAAAACTGGTTATTGATAGCTTGAGGTATTCACCCTGGATACATTACTTTATACAAGCCCCCAGTGGAGCTTACTTACCACCTTTTTACCCCACTGCCTGGTGCCCTAAGACCTACTCGTGTTTTATACCCACAACATGTCACTACTTCAGAGGATCTTGTATTCATCTGCAAACCTAAAAATTTGGCTGGGCATTCTGTTTTCTGGATTATGTGGGAAAAAATGACAAGTTGGGTCTATCTTAATATTTGTTCCTTGAAGTTTTATATTCCAGTGATGAAATAATCTATGATTATTCATCTCTGTTCTATTCTTCCTTGTCTTTAAATCACTTTCTACACAGAGCAAAATATTCCTTCAACCCACAGGTAACATAACACTTATTTAGGTCGGCAGGCTAGAGTTTACTGTTTCAGTGGACAAGCAAACCTTTAAAAATTGTAGGGACTCAGCCCACAGGACTTGCAGATATATATATAGTGTTCATGAATCTGCAGTCACCAGTAGTAATTTTCAGTTTCCTTTTTCTTTGGAGAAGTTTTTGCTTAGGTAATTCCATCAATTATAGCAGGTATCAGAAAAGTTGAAAATATCCATTTTTTTTTAATATCTTCTTGAAGAAGATATCTTTGAAATAGTCTTTCGTAGTGAAAAAGCCATTTTATTTAGATGGCTCTTTCTGGGTGCCAAATTTATTTATTTATGTATGTATGTATGTATGTATGTATGTCACAGAGAGAGAGAGAGGCAGAGACATAGGCAGAGGGAGAAGCAGGCTCCATGCACCGGGAGCCCGACATGGGATTCGATACCGGGTCTCCAGGATCGCGCCCTGGGCCAAAGGCAGGCGCTAAACCGCTGCGCCACCCAGGGATCCCCTAATTAATTTATTTATTTATTTATTTATTTATTTATTTATTTATTTATTTATTTTAAAAAGATTTTATTTATGAGAGCCACAGAGAGAGAGAGGCAGAGACACAGGCAGAGGGAGGAGCAGGCTCCATGCAGGGAGCCTGACGTGGGACTTGATCCTGGGTCTCCAGGAATCACACCCAGGGCGGAAGGCAGGGAGGGGCTAAACCGCTGGGCCACTCAGGCTGTCCTGGGTGCCAAACTTAAATAACAAAGTGGCTCCTGGGGGGACATTCCCCCCTCCCCAGTTTTATTGAGAAATAATTGACGTGTAACACTGTGTTAGTTTAAGGTATGCAGTGTAATGATTCGGTACATGTATATACGCAAAATGGTCACAGTAAGTCTAGTTAACATCTGCCTCACATAATTATACTTTTTTTTTCTTCTCATGATGATAGCTTTTATGATCTACTGCCTTAGTAACTTTCAAATATACAGACAGTATTATTAACTGTAGTCACTGTGCTGTACATTATATGTCCAAGATTTAATTATTTTATGACTGGACGTTTGTACCTTTTGACCACCTTCACCCGTTTCTTGCACCCCGCTCCCAGCCCCTGCCTCTGGCCACCACCAATCTGCTCTCTGTATCTGTGAGTTCAGTTTTTTAGGTTTCACGTAGTAGTGAGTCACACAGTACTTGTCTTTCATTGTCTTAGCTTATTTCACTAAGCAAAACTCCCTCCAGTTTCATCCATGTTGTCCAAAAATGGCAGGGTTTCCTTCTTTTTATGACTGAATAATATCTGAATAATATTCCACACTCTGTGTGCATATACACCACATTTTCTTTCACAGGGACATTTCCATCTTTCTCTCTTCCTATCCCAGAGGAATTGCAGACTCCTTATCAGAATAGACCTTATCTCGAGGCTCCCTTCTTCCACTCTGCCCAGTTACTTGACAAGCTCAGAGTTCACTGTCAGCTCCCCTTTCCAGCGAGCAGCAAATCTCTCAGACCCTGTCGTTGCTCCCTCATCTCCTGTCTTGACTAGTGGCCTCAGCTGGTCTCTGTCCCTCACTCGTCCCTCCCTCCCCTCCCCACCCCCAGTCATGCTTATCAGGTAGGAGTGAGGTCAGGAGTTTCCATGGGTTCAGGCTTGCCTTCCGGGCAAGGACGGGGCCCCAGTGCCTCCCACTGTCTGTGTCCTTCAAAGTGCTCCTGAAACTGCAGCATTTGCTTCAGTGCTTTTGCACATGTTTATTCCCATCCAGAATTTTCTCCCAATGCCATACCTCCTCTCCCATACCAAATTTGTTCAGGTCTGTAACTGCTCTTCCTTCCTTAAAACTCAGTTATCACCATTTCTGGAATCACCTTCTTTGGAACCTCTCCTTTTGACTGATCGACCCATGTGGGTTTTTTCCCTTGTTTGTAAACTCACAGTATTGTCATTTATTTGTTCACAAGTCTGCTCTCCTGGGCCAGGAATCCTTGAAAGCCCAGCTTTTATTTTACACATTCTGTGTCTGTAGTACCTAGCAAAGAGTCTGTATAAGTACTCGAGTGTTTGCAGAATAGCTAATAAATTTGGTAACATAGGCTGCAACCTTCTAAAATATGAAGGTTAGTGAATCTTTCAAATCGATAGTCTCTTTTACTGAAAGTATTTTGGAGAAAGAATGTAGGAATTGGTCTTTAGGAGATTGTTATAGGTCAGGGATCTAATTTCCAGAAAAAAAAAATCATAGCTTCTTTCATAATCCATTGGTGATTAATACACCTAAATATGGGTCCCCTGTGATTTCACAAACATTTCTGTGGTGCCTGCTGTGTGGCAGGCATTGCAGTCACGTTCAACTTTGTAGAATGAAAGACATCCTGTAATCACTCTACGTGTTTTGGTTCCACAGCTTTATGAAAACTTCATCAGTGAATTTGAACACAGGTAAAACACCTTTGTCAGTTTTTTACTTTGAACATGAACTTTGAACATTGATACTAATGACACTCAAAGCCTGGTGATTTTTATTTCAGGGTGAATCCTCTGTCCCTGGTAGAAATTATTCTTCACGTAGTTAGACAGATGACTGGTGAGTCTCACTTTGTTTCATAAAGAAGCAGATACAAATGGTAATTAAAATTATTTCAAAATATAAGTTAAATAAACTTTTACATTTTGATAGAAAATAACAGCCTCGGGCAGCCTGGTTGGCTCAGCGATTTAGCTCTGCCATCGACCCAGGGCATGATCTTGGAGACCCGGGATCAAGCCCCACGTTGGGCTCCCTGCATGGAGCCTGCTTCTCCTTCTGCCTGTGTATCTGCCTCCCTCTCTCTCTCTTTCTCATGAATAAATAAATAAATAAAATCTTTAAAAAAAAAAAAGAAAATATCAGACTCTAAGTTACCTTTTTATTGTATTGTATGTTCTAACCTAAAGATTATCTTACCTAAGTGTTGTGATTGGTAGGAACTGGTCTCTAAGGAGACACTGTCTTTTTTAAAAGACACTGTGTTTTTTTTGACATTGTTCTTCTGCCTTTTCTAGATCCTAATGTGGCTCTTACTTTTCTGGAAAAGACTCGCGAAAAGGTAAATGTGAAGTCTGAGTCAAATCTTTAGAATATGCATGACTTATAGTTTGTGTTTACGTTTGCTACACACACTTTAGAGACAAATTTGTTTCTAGTCATGTAAGTGAAGCCATACGCAGATGTTTTGTTAGTCTCCTGCCCACACTTCTCAGGTTCCCTTGTTTCTGATGTCTGTAGGTGAAAAGTAGCGATGAGGCAGTGATCCTGTGTAAAACTGCAATTGGAGCTCTAAAATTAAACATCGGGGACCTACAGGTTACAAAGGTAATGTTACCATAATACAGGTTTATCTTTAGTTTAAAAAGTTGATTATGGAGTCATGGGGAAAAATCTCATTTTTTCTATTTTAACTTTTAAGGTGACTTTACATTATAGAAAAGTTGCAAACAGCACAAAGAACTCTCATTTACCTCCCTCACACTCTCTCATTGCTCCATCATTCTCTGTGTGTGCTTGTGGTGTTTTGTTTTGTTTTGTTTTGTTTTGTTTTTCCAAAACCATTGACAGTCAGTTGCTGATATGAGTCTTGTTACCATTTAACATAAGCGGACTGCCCTGGGTGAGCACAGCACGTCCATCAGCAGGAGGGGTCCAGACAGCCTCAGACTGTTCGCATGGGCCCTCGCTGACCAGGGTCAGCTCACTCAGTGCAACAGGTCACAGGCTGCTCCTCCTCTCTCTCTGCCTCCTGATCTTTGCTGAAATTTCCTGTCCTTATTTTTGCTTTAGTGTAATTTTGGGGACAGATGTGGATATCAGTGGCAGTAAAACCAACTTGTGTGGTCAGTCTACCTTACTGAACCAGAGACTACATGTGTGTTTATGTTGTTTGGGTTTGTGTTAAGAAAATATTGGGGTAACCGTTCATGTTCTCATTGCCCTGAAGTAACACTTCTTATTTTTTGTTGCTTCCCGGTTCTAGTCTGCATACATACTTACTACATTTTGCTTTGAAATATTTAACACTTCTCGAAAGCCACAGAATACTAGAAGAAATCCCCACCCAGCATAGGAATGACGCAGCACTGCACAGTCGGAGCTGCTGGGCCGTCACAGCACATTCCTGCTCCAGCAGCGCGCTCTGCGCATGTCCTGATGCTCACTAGACAGGGATGTGTTACGTCTAAGTGAGGTTTAGTGTTGTTTTAAGTTAACGGGCTCAGTGTGAGGTTTAAGAATCATCGTGTTGCTACCTGTGACCCATTCGTTCTTACTGGCCCTTCATATTTCACTGTGACTTTCACAGTGTATGTATCAGTTCTCTATTAAAGGGATTCAGAGTGTTCAGAGTGTTAGGAACAGTGCTGTTACTTATCTCGGCATTTCTATGGCTGCTTCTTCGTGTACGTGGGCACAATCTCACCAAGGCACGTGCCTGGTGTGTGCCCTCTGCCTTTACCAGATGGGGTCAGACCTTTCTCCAAGATGGCTCACACTTCCCTGGCACCGTACAAGCACTTCCAAAGCTCCGTATCATCAACACTTGGTATTTTCAGACTATTTAATTTTTGCCAGTCTGGTGAAGATGAAATGCCATCTCATTGGGGGTTTTTTTGACAGCTCCATTCATGTCTCCACTTCTGTAAATTGCCTGTGAATACTTTTTCTTTTATCCATTTTACTGTGCTACTTCTGTTGATTAGTAAGAATTCTTTATATAGCTTTAGTTGTACCCCCTTGTGGGTTACGTGAAAAATGTCCTTTCCCAGTCTGTAGCTTTTCCTTCTTCTGTCTTGGATGAACTGAAGCTCTCTATTTTAACATAGTCTTGTCTGTCTGTTTCCTTAAAAATGTTTTAAGTCAGGGCCGCCTGAGTGGTTCAGTGGATTGAACATCTGCCCTCGGCTCAGGTCATGATCCCAGGGTCCTGGGATCAAGTCCCACAACAGGCTCCCTGCTCAGTGGGAAGCCTGCTTCTCCCTTTTTCTCTGCCGCTTCCCCTACTTGTGTACATTCACGCTCTCTCTCAAATAAATCTTTAAAAAAAAGTTTTAAGTTAAAAAGAAAGGCGATTTTGCTTCCTGCGTGTAGGAAACAATTGAAGATGTTGAAGAGATGCTCAACAACCTCCCTGGTGTGACCTCGGTTCACAGTCGTTTCTACGACCTCTCCAGTAAATACTATCAAACAATCGGAAACCATGCATCCTACTACAAAGATGCTCTGCGGTTTCTGGGCTGCGTCGATATCAAGGATCTGCCAGGTAACATGGAGCCGTTAAAAGTCCATGTCGAAGGAGCATGTTCTTGAGGTGTAGTAGCAGGTCTGGGCTGGGAAATTACTCTGGTGTATCCATCCATCCACTGAAGAAAGCCCAAGTAGTGAGAGGGTGGAAAGAGCCATGCAAGCATTAGTTTCTGTGTGAGTCTGCCTTCAGCATTTAGCTCAGGTGAAAATGAGGCTGCGCCCTATAGCCCTTCCCTGTTCCTTCTCCATCTTGCCTGTTCTCTGAACCAGAGGCCTTGGTGAGAAGCCAGCCATGTCGACGCCTTGGCCCCAGCTCATGAAGGGTGTGGTGAAGCCCTGTACCTGAGAACCTGGTTCTGGAAACTGAAAAGACCCAGGGGGATTCCTTACAAAAACCTTTTCAAGGATTTGAGGAATAGAAAGAAAAGTGAACAATGAGTTTTAGGAAAAGTGCAAGGAGTATGTTTAGAAAAGAAATGTGAGCCCATTTTAGATGTTTCTTGCAGTACACTTGTTGAGGCTGTGGAGGCCAGCGTCCCGTAGAAATGTTAATGCAGTTTTAATTCCAGCAACTCCAGAAAAACATACTGGAAAAAGCAAGTACTGCAGTCAGGCGAGGGGAATTGTTGTGTAGGAACAGAAGTAGGTTCACTCTAGTCCAAAAAGAGGCTAGATGAGGTGATTTTAAGAGAAACAAGGTATTGCTTCCAGGAAGTAGAGTAGCTGAAAATATAAATAGATTCACGTATTTAGGTAAAGATGAGTAAATGAACGTCTTTCCCATAAAACCCGTATATATGGTTCCAGGTATAATTTAAGGTACTCCAGTACTTTAAAAAAAAGATGACTAGTAGGGCGCCTGGGTGGCTCAGTCACTAAGCAACCGGTTCTGGGTTTCAACTCCAGTCACGATCTTGGACGCCCTGAGATTGAGCTCCGTGTCAGAGCTCTGTGCTAGGCATGGAGCCTGCTTCAGATTCTCTCCCTCTCCCCCTCCCCACCTCTCAAAAAAAAACCCAAAAGTGATAAAACAATTTTCAAAGGCTTTGTGAAATAACCATTGTGGGGAATGGTTTCTTTACTTTTTTATGAGATTTTTAAAGCCAAACAGGACTGATGCTCATAACTGGGATATGTCACTGGAGCTGTGTTGTTGCCGTAGTGTCTGAACAGCAGGAGAGAGCTTTCACGCTGGGACTAGCAGGACTTCTTGGCGAGGGCGTTTTTAACTTTGGAGAACTCGTAAGTGGATCCTGGGCACAGATTTCTTAACAAGGGGGAGACTAATGTGGTTTTTTATGCCAGCTAACCATCTCATCCTCGCAGCTCATGCACCCCGTGCTGGAATCACTGAGGAGCACTGACCGACAGTGGCTGATTGACACCCTGTATGCCTTTAACAGTGGTAACGTAGAGAGATTCCAGACGCTGAAGACTGCCTGGGGCCAGCAGGTCAGTCAGGAAGGACAACTGAGCACTCCTGCCACGCTCCTGGCTCTCGTTCATCCTGCGTCTGTACATTTATTCCACAGACGTTTTCTGTTCACCTGCCTGCTACACACCAGGCACTGGGAAGACAGATTAAGACAGGCCTGTCCTGCTCTCAGAGCAGAGGGTTAAGGGGCTTGTTACGGTACTTAGTTACTGTGGTAGTGAACAGTGTGATGGGGGAGCGTCATCTGGGTGACAGGGGAGTCACAGAAAACTACCCAAAAGAAGTAATGCCCTTTGTCTGATCTTAGGCATGAGTAGAGTTTAGCCAAGTGAAGAATATGAGAAGAGTACATACAGCAGAGGAAAGGGAAGCCTTTCGCATGTTCTGAACTGAAACAGTCTGTGAGGCTAAAGTGACTGATGAGAGCTGGGGAGAGCCTCAGGTGTGGGACGGCAGGACAGTCCTGCAGGAAGGGAGTGGTCAGTATAGAGGGAAAGGGGTGGGAAGGGGAGAGGCCAGCAGGCCAGGAGAGGAGCCATCTGGAGGTGTGAATTAAGGAGAAGAGGTATTGAATGAGGACCTGAGCTTTCATAGTTAAGCTTATTTTTTTAAATGAAATTATTAGAAGCAAATATTACTAAATTGTTCATAGTGATAGGGATTATGGTTGTATTACTGTTTTTTATACTTTTCTGAAACTTCAACTTTTTAAAATTCAAAATAAGCTAATAGAAATGACACATAATGGAGCTGAGTAGATGTGAATGGACTGTGAAGAGGCAGAGAGCAAATCCATCCAACCCCAGCTGTAGCGTGTGTTGATCTCTGAAAGAAACAAATGTGCCGCCTGGCAAACAAGCTGACTGGCTGTAGAAACCTAAGGAAAAAGAACTTCAGGGGTGTGTTGCCAGCGCTATCGAAGCAGCGAGGGCCCATTTCAGGGGAGTGGGCTCTTTCTGAAGAACTTTTCCTGCCTTGTCTCTGTGGCAGAAATGGCCCCAGGAGCTCTGCCTGTGTTGGGGTGTGAGTTCCTAGATGATTGAATCAGGGCACTCATCCTCCTTTTTGTCTCTGCCCATCAGTAACCCATGACCCACGAGTCTCCTTGAAAGGCCTGCACCTGGGTCCTGGCCCCTGGTGTCCCTGGCATTAGTGTAAATCTTACCTCTTAAATGGCTTATGCAGGAGCACGGTTTTTCAGGGATGCACCAGTTAGTGATGTCTTGAGAGAAGTGAGCCTCCGGGACCCTGCAGTATATGGTGTTTTCGTTTGATCTGCTGTAGAAAGAATTTCAAAGCCCAGGTTAGGTAAGTGATGTCTTTCTCCTTTTCAGCCTGATTTGGCAGCCAACGAGGCCCAGCTGCTGAGGAAAATCCAATTGTTGTGCCTCATGGAGGTAAGCAAGCTGCAGGAACTACTCTGATTTCAGACCCTGCAGATGAGCCCTCGGGGTCCTGCACACTCTAGGCTGCACCCCCTCTCCATCACCTTCCCTTTTTTTCTGTCACCATTTGCATTTTTAAGTTTGTATGTGGGTCTCATCTTCGATGATGACTGCGCTAGAGTAGCTGCCGCCTCGTTGTATGCACCATTCTTCATCAACATGCTGGTCTCTCTTTCCCTGTAGAGTGTAAGCTTCTTAAGGAAAGCAGCCTTGTGGGTCTGGGCCAGCACACTGTCCCCAGCTCAAGCACTTGCTCAGGGCATGAATACTGACCGTTGCCGACAGTAGCTGTGGAGTTCAGTTCACTGTGTCATCTAAGCATGGAAAGCTCGCTCCTAATAAGATCCACGGCTACTACAGTTAAGGAAGAGTTTAGTGTATGCGATAGTAATAGTTGTATTATCAGAAGCATCCTTATGAGTCAGCTCTCTGACAGTCTTTATTTGGAAAAATAGTTAACAAACAAAAAAAATGTTTTTCAGATGACTTTCACACGACCTGCCAATCACAGACAACTCACTTTTGAAGAAATTGCCAAAAGTGCTAAAATCACTGTGAACGAGGTACAGCTGTTGGATTCAGGAGGGTCAGTGGGAAAGCCCAGAGGGATCGGGCCTCCTGTGAGCACTGCTCCAGGCCCCAGACCACAGAAGACATGGTGTCATGTCCCCCCACACACGGGGCCTTGGGCTGTCTCCCACGGCCGCTCTCTGCGCAGGTGGAGTTGCTGGTGATGAAGGCGCTCTCAGTGGGGCTGGTGAAAGGCAGCATTGACGAGGTGGATAAGCGGGTTCACATGACCTGGGTGCAGCCCCGTGTGCTGGATCTGCAGCAGGTAACACAGTTCATGTCCGTGGGTGGTTCGTATGCTCTCTGTGCTTGTCTCGGTTTCACTTGGATGGAAGCCATTAGGAAGAAAGCAGTATTGACGGGGGATTCTGGAGAATCTGTTACTGCTGTTTGGAATAGGGGTTTTTCAAAGAACCTAATTTAATGCAAGCCTGGGTTTGAACCCTGTGTTTAAAAGCTTATCCTAATTACAGTGTTGGCTGTGCTGATGATGCCTTTTAATCTTAAAATTGGTACTCAGATCAAATATGTTCCTAGTTCTGTGGTTTGAGCTCAGGTCCATTTGTCCATATTTGCTGGAAATTTAATCCTGTGGATTTCCTCTATTCTTGCCTGCTTTCTTTCATGCAGGTTTTTTTTTAAATGTCATTGTGATAAGAACTACCTGGGATAATCCCATCTCGCACAGCCCACTCCCCCAGCTCTGATGCACCATAGAATTAGCTGGAGAGGTGCAGCTGTGATTCCCAAGTATCCTAACATCCTGGTCCTGCTTTGCCTCAGATCAAGGGGATGAAGGACCGCCTGGAGTTCTGGTGCACCGATGTGAGGAGCATGGAGATGCTGGTGGAGCACCAGGCCCACGACATCCTCACCTAGTGCTCCTGCCTCACCGTCTGTGGCAGCTGGGAAGACCTGTGTTCCTGAGGGAGTAGGGGGTGGGATTGTGTTTGTGGAGTGGGGACTGTTCTCCCTGCTGTGAAATCAGGACGTCACTCATGGGGGGCCCGCCTGCAGAGAGAAGCCTCCTTTGTGGGGGTGTCCTGTAGCTCTCGGTGGGGAGGGGTCACGGGTCTCCAGTGAGGAGGAGGCGGGCAAGAGTGTGTGTGTGCCCCAAGGAACGAGGAGTAGCCCTCAAGTGTGTGGGGACGCCACTCAGGCTCATCTCCACCATCTACCTGTGTGAACATCTCTTGCTGTTGTTCAAGAATGTTCCTGTAATAAACGCCTTTGTTTTGTCTATTTGTGGTTCTGCTTTCTTAGTCTTAGCTCCCAGGTCAAGCCTGGGCCCAAGAGATAAGAAAGCAGGAGATGGAAGATGGCTTGGTGGGGGTCTGGCTTCGGCCCTCCTCTCCTACCCTGGGAAAAGGGCGTCTCTGCATGTACGGCCACTGAGCAGAGCTGGGCACAGACGTGTCCACTGAGATCGACAGAGTCGTCCACCCACTACCACCCAGCTGGCCCTCAGCCCAGGGCATCCAGGGAGGGGGGATGCTCATATAGAAAGAATCACCAAGTGAACACTAGGTGGAGGGAAGGTTTAATGCGATCTTTCATCCAGTGCCTGGATCCTGAGCTGCAGGGCCTTCATTTGGTGGAGCCTGTCTTGTAGCTCTCCAGGTGGAACAGGACCCAGCCCGCGGGGGTCAGGAAGCTGAGGAACATCACGGATAGCCCGATGGCTTGCTCCTGGGTGAGGAAAGCACATGTGAGTCCACCAGGCCAGTACCAACATTCCTGGGTCACCGCAGTGTGGACCCCTGGCAACCAGAGTGGCAGTCCACACTTAGGGACGTTCTGCCCCACCCCCTGTGCTCCCATGGGACCCCTCGGCCCAGCCTGACATCTGGTGTGTGAATGGGGACACTGGTCCTCAGCGTGGACTTGGGCTGGCAGCCCTCTGTCTATGCAGCAGGACCCTCTCCTCAGCAACCCCCCAAGAGCCTGCTGGGCCTGGCCTTGTGTGCCTCAACCTTGAACTCCTGACCTGGCAAAACATGTGCACGTCAGGTGCTGTGCGGGACGGATTCCGGCCATACAAGGGCAGGGTCATTTTCCCTAAATGGCGGTCCTGCTCAGAAGCCTGGACGGAGGAGACGGGACTCCCTGCACTGTGTGCCATCCCACCCGGGGCCCGGTTCCAAAGAACCTACTACACTACACCTTCACTCAGTTTCCTCCTGAAACAGCCTGGGCCCAATCATCCCTGCCTGTTCCCTTAAGCAGTCAGACGCCAGGTTGGAGACCAGTCCTTCCTCTTGAATTTGCCTCCCAGTGGTTTCAAAGCAACGTGAGCCCAGAACGAGGCCTTTAGGCGGGGTTCTGAGCTTAGCCTCACCACGTGACCTTGAACAGATGACCTTCTAGACTTAGTTTATTGCTGCTTAACCCAGAGGTAGTTGTGTGCTCTCCCGGAGCCCGAGGGAGCCTGAGGGCTGTGTTTTCGCCTGTGCTCTCCCGGGCCCTCCGAGCAGCCCACTTTCCCCACCCGTGGGCGGTGAAGCTGGAGTGTACACTGAGTGCCCTTCAAGCTCTGCCATTGGCCGGAGGGCAAATGGGGGCCTGAGAACAGAAAGACCAGCATCCCCAGCTGACCGCTAGCTGCTTTGGGAGCCTGACCTCCAGGCGATGGACCCAAGGACCCCCTTCCCCCTTCCCGGGGTGGGGGCTGATTTCTAGCGCGAGGATCACCTTTGGGATCTGTGAGCCTGAGAATACAAGTTTCCTCCCCTTTATCAGCCTGGCCTCCCGTGTCCTGCCCCCAAACCCACCTCATCTGCAAAACAACGCAGGACTGCCCACTCCCCGTGCTCCAGCCAGCACCCCTCCGTGGAGGTTCTTACCATGGGAGAAGTGGGCGTCCTGGCCGGCTTGGCGGAGACGTGTGCCCTGGGGACCACCCAGCCCCTCAGGGGCGTCTGCAGCAGCCTGGGGGCCAAGGCCAACCTGAGCATGGTGGTCCAGCCGCACTCCGGGAGTCCAGCAAGGTCCGTGTATCCGCTCAGCGCGTCCTCTGCTCACTCGGGCGCTGGGGCTTTTTATAGCTCAAGTGGGGAGCAGCAGCTGTCCCCTCCTGTCACGGCGCTTGGCCGACAGGACACCAGCTTGGAAGCGGGAGACCGGCGGCATCAGGCTGCAGCCTCCAGGCCCAGCCTGTGCTGTGGCCCCCAGGGGCTTCGAGCCTGTCCCCGCGCAGGCAGGCTTGGCCTTCTCTGCGAACAGCCTGCAGGTCTCCGTCAAGAAGGCGTCCGACAAAGCGGCAGGACTGGGGAAGTCGGAGAATTTGAGAAAGCAGGGGGAGAAGTGACAGGATTTAAGAGGAACCCAAGTTCCTGGAGTGGCCACTTACAGCGCCCTGTGGAGCTATTTTAAAGTTCTCCAACTTCGGGATTCCAGGCTGAGCTGCCCGGCCTGTGGATCTCCGTCCCGGGCCCGGCTGCGAGTCCAAGCGGTGCAGCCTCGCCCCCAGAGGGGACCCCGGGTCTGCAGCGCCGGGAAGCCCAGGGAAGCTGAGCAGACGCGCTGAGCCCCGAGGAGGCCCGGGGCGCTCTGGGCCCACGTCGCTTGTGAAGGGTCCCAGGGCCACTTGTGCTGGGGCTGCGATGCCCAGCGGCCCCGGGGAGTCGGCCTGTGAGCCACCCCACACCGCGTGTGAGCTCGGAGCCTCCCGGTCTCTCTTCTCTTCAGAGACTGCGTCGCTCGTGTCTTCCCACAACGATCATCTACTCGAGAATTTGTTTTCCTGCTCTGAGGGGTTGTGTCCCCCCGTTTCACTGTACAACCCTCTGCTCCCGCTGCTCATTTCCCCGAAGTCACAGACGTGACCAGATGTGACCCATTGTCGACCGCAGTGACTCTGCTCCAGGACAGCAGTGGCCCTGAGCCCCTGGGCTGAGTCGCGGCCAAGCTCGCGTCCCCAGCAGCTGCTGCAGCCCTCTGTCCCTGCTCACTGGATGCTGAACCCCTGCTCCAAGTCCTGCCTGAGTGCTGCCAGCCCGTCCACCTCCTGCTGAACACGTGGGCCTCGGGGTTGCAGCTGCTGACCGGCCATGGTATTTAGGGTGTGCCGACGCTCATGACCGCTGTCCCCGCCCTGAGCGCACTGGCCGAGGCCCTGCGGACCGTCCGGGCCGGCCCGTCCCCTGCCCGGCTGTTCGGGTCCAAGTGTGAGCACCGTGCCCATTTCCTCCGCTGCTCACACTCCATAGGCCCCAGCCCCGCCCAGTCCAACCTTGACCGTGTGCTCCGAGGCTGCCAGCCCAGGGGCCCCACCCAGCGGCCAGGGTGGCCCTCGGGGAGCCGCCGCCCTGCCCACCCGTGCCCCACCCAGCTGCTCCCCTGGCTTCGGGGCCCTCAGCTGCTGCCCTACACCCTCCTGCGGCCTCACCTGGGCAGCCTTTGCCTCCTGTTTCCGAGGCCTCGGGCCCCGTCCCAATGTCCCCACGGCCTCCCCTTGGTCACACCCATGTGCTGATGGGCTGCTCCCGGCGGCCCGAGCCATGAGGACCAGGCCCTGCTGGCTGCCCTGAGCGGCTGGGCCTGGTGGGCGAGCAGCGCTGCGGAAGGCCGCAGGGGCCGGTGTGGCCGCGGGGCGGCAGGGACAGGCCCGAGCGTGGCCGGTACTGGCGTGACTTGGGGACACGAGGCCCGGCAGCAGTTCGCTGCACCGTCAGCGCAGCCTGGATGGGCATGCGCAGCCCGGGCGCTCCGTGGCTGTCGGGCCCAGGAGCACGGCCACCGTCATCCCCGCGGCCACGGCGCGCAGCTCGTCGGCCTCCGGGCAGGCTGACGCCTGACTCCGTGGTGGTTCTTCCTGGAAGCCGCGGGGTGCAGATGCCGAGCCGCCCGCCCCCCGCCCGCAGCCCCAGCGGCTTGGCTCTCCCGCGAGGAGGAGGAAGCGCTCGGGGCGGGAGGACGGCTGCCCTGTGACCTCGGTCCCTCCTCTGCAGTAATCCCTTCCGCCTAAGCCCTTAATCACAGCTTTGGGGTCTGGTCGGGAATAGGCCGCGGGTCACGATCCGTCACGCGCCTACAGTGTTTCTTCCTGCACGAAGGAGGCCCGCTGTCCCCAGGCACCCAGGCCTGGCTCCCAGGGAGGGCTCCTCCGCGTCCCCAGCCTGGGGGGCCGGGGTGTAGGGGTGGGGTGCCGCCACATGGAGGACGCCCTGCTGGGGGCCGCGGCCCAAGGGCGGGAAGCATCCCCCCCTCTCCAGAGGACCTCTGCGCACCAGCCTGACCCCCTTTGCCTGCATCCCCAGAGGCCTGGGCTCTCCAGCCTTCCCCCGGCGCAGACGTGCCTTCCGCATCTCGGTGCTCATGTCGCTTTGGGGGCTCCTCCGGCCACCACAGTGAGCTTCAGACTTCACCATGACCACGTTTTCAGGGTTCAAACCAAACCCTACACAGATCCGTCCTGCCCGCATCACACACAGATGCCGCCGGAGGTGGGGAGCCTGGCACGGCCCCCCTTCATTGCCCCAAGGCCGCACGATGCCCCCACAGAGTGCTGCTCTGTGCGCCGGACTCTCCTCCACCTGGAAGGACAGTGCGATGACCCACAGAGAAAGGGGCGGTGGCCAAGTGGGGGATGAGGGGTCATGTTGAATAAGACAGTAAAAGGCTCTGAGGGGTGCAGGGTGGGATGAGTCCCCCCCGTAACTGTAGGAGAAATCAAGGCTTGGAAAAGGAGCAGGGCCCAGGGACCAGGTAGAGCCAGGCCTGGTCCCACCTGTCGTGGCAGGAGTTGCATCAGGAAGGGCTCCCGAGGGCTCTGGAAGCTCGACATACCCTGTCGCCTGGATCTTCACCCCCATCTCCCTCCTCCACCCACACCTGGCACATAGCTTCCCCTGCCCTTGCCCTCACCCTACCGCCCCTGGGGGTTGACGTGGGAGACCAGCCACCTGCACACATCCTCCCTCTCAAGGCTTCCTGGAAGGTCTGGGGTCACACTGTGGGCACATGGCACCACCCTGTGTCCGTACCTGGAACCACAGGAGACAAAGCAGAGAGGCTGACCTTGAGGCACAGGTTCTAGCGTCAGGGACCCAGAAAACAGGCACGTGCATGCAAACGTGCATATTACTCATTTTTAGATTCTATTAACTTATTTTAGAGACAGAGAGCAGGTGCAGGGGGAGGAGCAGAGGGAGAGGGAGAAGCAGACTGAGTGCTGAGTGCAGAGCCCGACACAGGGCTCGATTCCACGACCCAGAGATCACGACCTCGAATCAAGAGGCAGATGCTCAAACAACCGCACCACCCAGGTGCCCCAAACTTTTGAAAATCGATTTCATCACTTAAAACGTCGGTTCTCAAAGTCTGGCCCGTGGACCAGCAGCATCAGTGTCACCTGGAAACTTCTAGAACTCATTTAGGAAGTCTGGTCGTCTCGGCTGCCGTGACAATAGCCTTCCTAGGGAACTATGATGCACATATATGGCTAAGAACCATTTTGTGTCATATAAAAATTTATGCTTCATGCTATTTTGTTCAAAACTAAATTTCCACTTCCAAAAAGATTAAACTCTCACCCAGACGGCAAAACTCAGCCCCTTCCCTTTATCCACAGACACAGGTCCACTTCGTGCTTCTCAGCCATGCAGCACCTAGTGAACACTCAGCTTGCGGGTAGAGATGGAGTCTCCAGCCGTGCCTTCCTCAGCCCACCTCTGCCTCACTGCCCTGGAGCCCGCTCTCAGAGGGGCCTGCCCATGTGGGACGTGCCCGCAGACACTCCGGGCCACTCCACAGTCAGTACTTCACCAGCACCCCGTTCTCTGGCATGACGGCTAATTGCATGTGTCAGCTCTGCCGGGCCCCGATGCCCAGATATTGGGTCAAGCATTATTCTGGATGTTCCTGTGAAGGCGATTTTTGGTTGAGACTAACATTTAAATGGGTGGACTTAGAGTAAAGCAGATCACCCTGCACAATGTGGGTGGGCCTCGTTCAATCAGTTAAAGGCCTTGACAGAACAAAGACTGATTCCCCAAGCAAGAAGGAATCCTGCCAGCAGATGGCCTTTGGACTCGAGGCACAGCATCAGCTCCTCCCTGGGCCTCCAGACTGCTGGCCCACCCGGCCCATTTTGGAGTCTTCCACAGTCACATGAGCCCATTCCTTAAAGTAACCCCTACCCCAGCCCCACACACCCTGTTGGTCCTGACTCTGTGGTAGGACCCTAATGAATACGGTCACAGGGCTGTGCCAGCAGAGGGCCCCTGGGGGCTCAGCAGTGGAGCACCTGCCTTCAGCTCTGAGCGTGACCCTGGGGTCCTGGGATCGAGTCCCAAGTCGGGCTCCCTGCAGGAAGCCTGCTTCTCCCTCTGCCTGTGTCTCTGCCTCTCTCTCTCTCTCTCTCTCTGTGTGTCTCTCATGAATAAATAAATAAAATTAAAAAAAAAAGACTGTGCCAGAACAGAAGCCCTTTAGCTGCTTTGTCCTTTCACCTTTGGCAATAAAAATACAATTATTACACTTTCCTGTCTTTAATGTGGATCATACTAAATGATGCTAATGTAACCCAGACATGCCACTAGCAGAAACGCTTCACACCATCGACACCTGAAGCACCACTTTCTCTGGCTGTGTCAAGAGCGGTTACAGATGTAGCAGCCCAGAACGGTGTGCTGACCGTCTCCGGGGTTCCGGGGTCAGCAGCCCCGGTGTGGTTGCTGGTCCTTTGCTCAGGTCTCACCTGCTGACCTCAGGAGTCCTGAGGCCATGGTTCCCATCCGAGGCTCAGGGTCCTCCTCCAAGGTCGGCTGGTTGGCAGAGTTGAGGTCCTCGAGGGAGTAGGGCTGAAGTCCTGACCCCTGGCTGGCCGTCGGCCGGGGTCTCTGCTCACGGAGGCCACCCTTGGATCCTCGCTCCCTCAAGAAGTAATTCATAACATCTTGTTTGCTATTTCAAGGCCAGCAAGAGAATCTTTCTTGCTTCAAATCCTTCTGGCATTTTTAAAAAAGATTTTATTTATTTATTCATGAGAGACACACACACAGAGAGAGAGAGAGAGAGAGAGAGAGAGAGAGAGAGGCAGAGACAGAGGCAGAGGGAGAAGCAGGCTCCATGCAGAGAGCCCGACATAGACTCGATCCCAGGTCTCCCGGGCCTCCAGGGTCACGCTCTGGGCTAAAGGCAGGTGCTAAACCGCTGAGCCACCCAGGGATCCCTTTCTGCTCTTTCAGGGTTTCAGGCCTGCCACTTTCAAACTGGAACTTCAGGAGATCCCTGGGTAGCTCAGCGGTTG